GTCCCGCTTAATTTCTTACCACATCATGCTGTTGTCAACCTAGAGAAGTCTACCACACCCCTGAGAGTAGTTTTCGATGCTTCTTGTCCAACTTCGTCCGGGTATTCTCTGAATGATATTTTGCACAAGGGCACAATCAAACAGGATACACTAAATCACATTTTATTACGTTTTCGATTGCACAAATATGTAATTAACGCCGACATACGTAAAATGTTTTGTTGCATACACATAAATGCTGATCAACAACCTCTGCAATGCATTCTGTGGAGGGAGGAGCCTCACCATGAGCTTCAAACTTTCAAATTAACAACACTCAGCTTTGGGCTGAAACCTGCGCCGCACATTGCAACACGCTGCTTACTGCATTTGGCACAAGAAACTCGCACTGCTTTGCAACAACTTCCAGATGCAGCACGGTCTTCAGCCGAGTTGCCGGTAGCAGCCGCAGCGGCCGCAGCGATCGAGGAGCAGTTCTACGCTGATGACCTACTTCTCTCAGGTGACGATGAGCACAGAATCACGCAGGTCGCCCTGGAGGTAGACAGAGTCCTGCGCACAGCCAACTTTCATCTACGTAAGTGGAAAACTAATTCATCACAAATTCAACAAGCACTACCTACACAAACAGAAAGTACAACATCACAAAGCGTCCAACTCGGACAACCAGGGGATAGCTTGCACAAAATATTAGGACTTCAATGGTCAAACCAAAACGACAATTTGAATTATTCAATTAATTTGCAACCTATACCAAACAATGTAACAAAACGAGTTATTTTATCTCGAGTTTCAAGTATCTTCGACCCTTTGGGTCTATTAGGCCCATGCCTAATTCTTGCCAAATGCTTCATTCAACGACTATGGGTGGACGGGTCGGATTGGGACCAACCTATTTCACAAACTCTTTTAAAAGATTGGTTAACATTTTACAATGGACTTCAATACCTAAGATTATTACAGATTCCCAGAGTAGTTACAATAAGCAATTATATAACTTTCCAATTACATGGGTTTGCAGACAGCTCCACACAAGCTTACGGGGCGGCCATTTATGTGCTTACAACCAATGCACAAGGCCAAACTCTAGTTCGATTATTATTTTCAAAAACACGAGTAGCACCACTAAAAACTCAAACTATACCCCGCCTCGAATTGAGTGCGGCGTTATTGTTGGCAGTCAATATGAAGGATTTGCAGTCATCACTCAAAGTCCCTATAAACGACATTCAATACTGGTCCGACTCGACTATCACGTTAGCGTGGATAAAGACAGAACCTCACAAGCTAAATACATTTGTAGCCAACAGAGTTACCAAGATTCAAGCTCTAACAGACAAGTCCAAATGGCGCTGGGTTCCTAGTAATGAAAACCCAGCAGATTTGCTTTCAAGGGGGGTTTTACCTGACAAATTAGTTAACTGCACAACTACCTCTAAGTTTTGGTTTGAAGGTCCAACATTTTTGAGTAAACCACAAGGTGAGTGGCCTCAAAATAAACAGCAAACCCAAGAATTAATTGAGCTAAAGGCAAAACATTCCCCATGCAAAACATTATGCAACACAACACAAAATAGGGCTAACGATAACACATTCATAAACAATTTAATTTCAAGGTGGTCCAGTGACACGAAACTATTTCGTATATTTGCACTCGTACTAAGGTTTTTACACAACTGCAAAAATAAAACCCACAAAATTACAGGGCCAATTTCATGCCAAGAGCAAAGGCAAGCTGCCAATAAACTAATAATATTTACACAAATAGAATCATTTCCTAACGAATACAAACTTCTTAAAAATAACTCACAATTACCTAAAACCTCAAAACTTTTGAGTCTTAAACCATTTATGGATAATGATCTTATAAGGGTGGGAGGACGTCTCAGTCAATCACACTACGAATTTGACAAAAAACACCCCATCATACTACACAGCAATCACACATTAACCAAACTAATTATGAGGAACGAGCACGTCCGCCTCATGCATGCAGGACCCCAGCTGCTGCTGTCTAGCATGAAGGAGCAGTACTGGCCTATCAAGGGTAAGCTTTTAGCCAATAACATTTTTAGAGAATGCGTACCTTGCTTCAGAGCCAAGCCACATACACCGACGCCTATTATGGGCGACCTACCAGGTCACAGAGTGCAACCGGCGCCGCCATTTTACACTGTGGCACTAGACTATGCAGGTCCATTTCTACTCAAAGACAGGCAGGGGCGTGGTTGCAAAACTTACAAGTCCTATATTGCCATTTTTATATGTTCTTCAACGAAGGCCGTACATATTGAACTTGTTACAGGTCTAGAAACTCACAGCTTCCTGTCAGCGTTCAGAAGGTTCATAGCTAGACGCGGGAAGCCACGAGTGGTGGTGAGCGACAACGGCACCACCTTTCGGGGTGCTGACAGGGAGTTAAGGGAGCTATACGATTTTCTTAACACGAACTCTAACGAATTGACAACTTCGTGCACCGAGCAAGGTATCGAATGGAAGTTTGTACCTAGTTACTCACCTCACATGAATGGTTTGGCAGAGGGCGCTGTCAAAAGTTGTAAATATCATCTTAAGCGTGTCCTAAAACAAAGTCTACTTACCTATGAAGGTTTCTCAACAATTTTAATTCAGATAGAGGGCATCCTTAACAGCAGACCTTTATGTCCCATTCCTTTTTCCGATTCCGAAATATTCCAAGTCCTTACACCAGCTCACTTCCTAATAGGAAGAACTCCAGTGGCACTGCCGGATTACCAATACGACGAAGTCCCAACCAACCGACTTAAATACTTTCAACAACTCCAACAGATCTACCAATCTTTCTGGAAGGGCTTCTTATTCTTCTTAAGAGACTACGTGGGGCTACTCCAACAACGAGGCAAGTGGCAGAGCTCCAAGGGACCCACGCTGGCAGCGGGCTCCGTAGTTCTCATCAAGGACAAGCACACTCCACCATGCCAGTGGAGACTGGCAAGGATCATCGAGACACACCCCGGGGGCGACGGCGTGACTCGCGTTGCCACACTGAAGACATCCCAGGGCTCCACCATCAAGCTGTCCTTCCCGAAGATATTTCCTCTACCAATCCCAACTATATAATAATATATATAATATTAATATTATTAATATTAATATTAATATATTAATATATTAATTAATATATTAATATATATTAATATATTAATATATTAATATAATATTATAAATGCGAAAGTAACTCTGTCTGTCTGTCTGTCTGTCTGTCTGTCTGTCTGTTACGTTTTCCCGCTTAAACCTCGCAACTGATTTTGATGAAATTTGGCATAGAGATAGTTTGAGTCCCGGGAAAGAACATAGGATAGTTTTTATCCCGGTTTTTGAAACAGGGACGCGCGCGATAAAGTTTTTCTGTGACAGACAAAATTCCACGCGGGCGAAGCCGCGGGCGGAAAGCTAGTATTAGATAATAATTAACTTACTTAAATAACTTAGTACATTATGTATTAACATTTCTTGTAACCAAGTAATGTATCTTATTTATCGTTGATAATAACTTAAAATATCTAGAGTATCATACTATTATATTATAACCATTTTGCCTGTAACCAAATGTAACTTAGACTCATATTTCATTTTGTGTAATACTTATATCAAGCANGGACATCCCAGGGCTCCAACATCAAGCTGTCCTTCCCGAGGATTTGTCCTCTACCAATATTAGATAATAATTAACTTACTTAAATAACATTATGTATTAACCTTTCTTGTATCTTATTTATCATTGAAAATAACTTAAAATATCTAGAGTATCATACTATTATATTATAACCATTTTGCCTGTAACCAAATCTAACTTAGACTCATATTTCATATTGTGTAATACTTGTTTCAAGCAAATGTATCTTAAACTCATACAGTATAATTTCATATTATTAGATAGTACTTAACTGTATTGCATTAGTTAGTACATTATCATTAATGCCAATATTTATTTGTGAAACTTCAATAAATGCTTAAGTTGTGTGGGTTTCATTGAAATACCAGAGTAGGTACATAGATAGNATCAAGCAAATGTATCTTAAACTCATACAGTATAATTTCATATTATTAGATAGTACTCAACTGTATTGCATTAGTTAGTACATTATCATTAATGCCAATATTTATTTGTGAAACTTCAATAAATGCTTAAGTTATGTGGGTTTCATTGAAATACCAGAATAGGTACATAGATAGGTAGGTAACTTATTTCAAACAAATTAATAATACACAAGTAATTTAGATTTCGATTTATTGTAGCAATTAAACCTAATAATGTAAACACTTAACTTAGTAGGTACACTTAATTAAAACACTTTAAATACAACAATTTAAATACTTAAAATTAAATTATTTAACTATTTCAAGGGGGGAGCATGTTCCGAACCCATTTTAGCGCCATCTACCTATATTAGTATAAATCAAATGTTTGTAAAGCGCCATCTATAATTCATCTTGCTTTATAAGAACTAACAATACAATTAACAGTTTACAAAATGATTTAAACAAAGAATCATAGATGGCTTTACGCGCGTCCGTCCGTGCTGTGCACGAGTGCGACCATTGTACCACTCTCTCTCGAACCAATGTAAAAGCAACATCTACTGCGTGTAGTACAAATACAACTTTACCAAACCGGCTCCAGAGTTTTTCTCCGCAACACAGATCTTTCAGACAAACATAAGTAGACTGTAAGTAGCTGACACACCCATAGGTCGAACACACTACTGGCCTATGGATCTATAATGTAACATATAAACCAGGGAAATAAACGTCTTTCTATTCTATTCTATTCACTGCTGCACTGATGGGATAGAAAAGTAAACAAGCAAAACCTTATTCGTTAGCAAACGTCATATTTATTTAAATGTTAGCAGCACTGTTTCTTTCTGTTATGTTGGCAGGTTTGACTCTTACAGTACCTAGTGCAAGCGAAAACCGACACTAAGGTGACGAACCTTTTCATTCCGCGACTGTACAACCTACCTGCATTCGTCCCCTCCCGGCAGCGTCCCAACCAGCCTCTCTCCTCCCGCCCCCACAATCGCCCGGGACACAAACTGCATCGGGACAGTGTCCCAGGCCAGTCGCACCGGCAGCCGGGTTGTATGGGACAGTAGCGAGCATTTGTCCTCGAAGGTGGACTGCGCTTGGTATACGGGCCATATCTGGGAACACGTTGATTGATTATTTGAAGAGAGATTGTGCGCTAGCAAGTAAAATGGCGTCTTTTTAGCGGTAGGTGCTGTCACTGTCAAAAAAATGTATGGGAAACGTCACTTTTAAAGTTTCACAAACGTGTCCGGCCAACGTGGGGAGTGTAAGCCAAATACTCCATTTGCCACTGGTAAAGAGGGGTGTACTTTTGTAGTGGAGACTAAAGGAAGCAGCACACTTATCAACCCGGAAACGGATCGTAATCGTATTAACTCAAAGTATTATTTGTATAAAACTCCGTACTCCAAAGCACACTTATCTGAATCGTAATGTAAACGCCTGCTTCGCGGCGAAAGGCGAAAGGGTGTTGATCTCTTTCCGGGCTGATAAGCGTGCTATGACCTTAAATTCATCATCATCATCATCTCAGCCATAGGACGTCCACTGCTGAACATAGGCCTCCCCCAATGCTTTCCATGTTGCCCGGTTGGTAGCGGCCTGCATCCAGCGCCTTCCTGCTACCTTTATGATGTCGTCGGTCCACCTTGTGGGTGGACGTCCCACGCTTCGTTTTCCGGTACGCGGCCTCCACTCCAGAACCTTGCTGCCCCATCGGCCGTCAGTTCTGCGTACTATACCTTAAATTATGAATGATGATGCTTACCGTATCAATAAGCTCCAACACTTTAACACTGTCTTCAACAGTCATTTTCTTCTTCAAACAACTTTTCAATACATCTCCCAAAACTGCCGATATTTCATTACTAGTCCCCATCAAAATATACGGTTTCTTTATAAAATACACAGAATACACATCTATAAAATACTTGATAAACTTCAAACCAGTTTTGTTGTGACTTTTGACAATATGCTGCGTTATTTCGTCAAATATTTTCAGTCTTAAAGATATATTTAACATATCTGACAGGTATTCCTTGTATATATCTATGTATTTCTCTCCATTTTCGGTGTATATGTTCAAAACTGTATCGCATAGATTCAAAATTGAATCATCGCATATATACGCTGGTATTTTCAACAATTCTGAGTATATTTTTAAGGCTTTTATGTCTAAAGAATATTCTTTGTGAATGTTATCTTTATTTATGTTTTCGGTTTTGGTTTTTATATCGTATCTTTTGTACCAATCTTTGAAAGATATCAGAATGTCCGGCTCTCCGATTATTGTGTGGTATTTGCTCACACAGGAGTTGAATTGTTTCTGTAAGTGTATTATGTACTTTGGTGGCATATTGCTGATGATTTTCTTTATTAGTTTTAGAGATGGCTGAAAAAAAAGGAACTGTTAAGAAAAGATCTAAGAACTAAGACTCAAATTCTAAATAAATAATGCATTATAGGTCTAGCGCGAAACTTAGTCAATATCTGAGGCACTGAATACATAATAGTAGCAACAGAAATTGCACTCCTTTGTGTAGGATCAGATGCCGACATTTTAACGGTAATAATAATAATGCAAAATATCCAACGCACATGGTGCATTCGAAATCGCACCTTACTACTACGCTCACAAGAGCCCATTTTTTTGTGTTCAGAATTGATCTACCTCACAGCTCAAGCGTCAGGGTTGTATAAGCAAAGTAAAATAAATAAAAACTTAATTTTAAGAAGCATTTATTGTATTACGATTGGTAAACTTTAATCTAGTGGTGTTTGTATAATCGTACCATCTCTAAAGTATCTACCTATTAATAAACTTCAGTGTTGCGATAATTCTAAATTGGACAAACAGTTTTAAAAGGTGTAGTGTCGGAAAATAGACACGGTGAAGTAAAGTTAATGTTTATATTAGCTAAAGTTTTTTTTTCTACAGTTTTTTGTCATAAGCATTTCAAAATTATTTAAAAAGTGCAGTTTTTATTAATTATTTAAATTACTACCGTTAATTATTATTCCTAAATATTACGATTTTCCATTAAAGAAGGATAACAGTGCTGTTGGAACAATAAACCTTGATTGTGACGATGATCGACCGAGCGTGTATAGAAATACGCGTGTGCTCACAGGCGCGTGGCGGCCCTGACTGATTTGCAACTTGGAGTTGTCGCGCGCTGTAGGTAATTATTTCGGCCGACATGGTCGAGTAACGGAGGCCTGTCTGAGGTATGGGAGCGGCACGGGAAGGTTACTTTGTGACGGTCAAACGTCAGCGAGACTAGATTTGTATGCCCTGTTATGTCGTAATATACAGGGTTGAATTTTGTAATGCCACCTGGAGGGAAAGTACTCTTAATATTGTAGATAGAAAAATTTTCTCAAAGAAAACATTCCTTTACTTTTGAAAAGAAATAGAACTGCATTCAAAGATTTCGGAAAAATTGCTTGCCACACCCGGGAATCGAACCAACTAAAATCTGTTAAAAATTACACCCTGTATTTTTATTACATAGATCGTTAGGGTTAAGTATAAGCATGAAATCTCTCTAACAAACTTGATAAATCAAATGAAAGGAAATCCATCAAATCTTGAATTATTTTAATTATGTTACAGAAAATTGTATGGTATGGTGGTGAATTTTCGAAAAAATTTCGATAATCTTTGAATGCAGATCTCTTTCTTTTCAAAAATAAAGGAATGTTTTCTTTCAGTAAAATTTTCTATCTATAGTATTAAGAGTACTTTCCCTCCAGGTGGCATTACAAAATTCCACCCTGTATATGTCAATGTTACCCCTCCCGTGCCGCTCCCATTCCTCAGGCACTGACTGAGTTAATCGCCAGAACTATAATAAGAATGGATTATGGAATAAGCAAATAAGTATGTAAGCACTGGTTTTACACGACCAATATTCGCTAAAATAAGCTAGAAATAAATAAAAAAATGTTAACAAACCTCTGTGAATTTCCCGATCAATTCAGTAGCATACACAGATAGGAACTTCAAAATTGCTTTAACAGCAAATTCATCAGTGCCATCATAGTTTACTCCCAATCTGTCAATACCATTCAATATTTCTCCCAATTTTTCATCAGTTAGAGACAACTTAGCTTCAGCTATAAAGTATATTTCTCTTTCACTACATTCTTGAGTGTTTATAAACGTAAAAATTTTACCACGATCAAAATTGGGCATACTATTGAAGAATTCCAAAGTCATTTTAACTTTATCTTTAAACAACTTCACGAATACATCTTTTGACAAATCTGTCTTATTCTTTTGGATGTTTCTCATTAATTTCTCAATGATTTCTTCAATAATTTGTTTGTTGTACAACTCATAGCTGTCCAGTAATATTTTGTATGCGGTTTTGAAGGTATTTTTGGCGCTAGTGTCGTCAGTTTCGAGTATTAACGTCAAGATGGCGGGCAGTTCTTTAGTTTGGAGTAGATGGTTGTCTTTGATGGCGGCTAGCAGAGTGTCAGTTATGTTAAGACCGCCGCTTCTAGTGGTGGCTGGAAGATAAATAATGTAGTTTATTAAACGGAATTTTTTTTTGGGGTTTCGTGCTCGAAGTGGTGGTAAGGCAAGCTGTATTTTGGAACGTGGATACGGCCTATGTAAAAAATAAGGAAAAAAACCTACATAAATGATCACTGAGTGAGGCTGAGTGACAAAAAAGTGACAAAGATTCTTCCGCCACCAGCTCATATGTCTTTACGAAGTGGTAGTACTGTAAACTTATTTGTTTCATACTCGGGGTCGTGAAATACTAGCCCAAGCACGATTCAAAGGCACAGAAACGTATAATGTCTTCCACACTACACGAAATACGACACAAATGACCTTGTTTGGCTTGTTTGTAGCACATTATGCAATAAAGATATAATGATTATGACGTGTACAAGTGCCCTGTAAAGGGAGGGAGAGGGGAGTGGAGGCCACGCACCGGAAAACGCAGCGTAAGACGTCAACCTACAAGATGGACCGATGACCTCATGAAGGTAGCAGGAAGGCGCCTGGGCGAATCGGTCAACATGGAAATCATTGGGGGAAGCCTATGTTCAGCAGTGGACGTCCTATGGCTGAAATGATGATGATGACCTTTCACCAACCTTGCTCGCTAGCCATCATAACGCGGGCGCGCTCGGCCGCCACTCTTCCCAACTGCTCCGCGGATTCGGAGCCCGCGTTACACAACAGCAGCCCTTCTAATGCGTCCGAGAGCATCCTCCAGACACCAGGAGACTTCTTGCTGACCTAATTGTGCCTCGAACTACCCACCACTATAGGCCTTATACAGAAACTCAAAGTTGCACAGCGTGCTATGGAGAGGGCTATGCTCGGTGTTTTTACGAGATCGAATCAGAAATGAGGAGATCCGTAAACGAACTAAAGTCTTTGACATAGTCCGATGGATTAGCAAGCTGAAGTGGCAATGGGCAGGGCACATAGTACGCAGAACTGACGGCCGATGGGGCAGCAAGGTTCTGGAGTGGAGACAAATGCAGCGTGAAACATCGACCTACAAGATGGACCAACAACCTCATAAAGGTAGCAGGAAGACGCTGGATGCAGACTGCTAAATCATTCATCATCATCATCAATAGCCCTTTACAGTCCACTGCTGGACTATGAGCCTCCTCCACTATAGTGGAGGGTTTTGCCATAATCTCCACGCTTGGCAGGCGGGTTGGAGATCGCAGTTTAAAAGATTGATGTTTTTCAGAGAGCGCTGCTGCCCATTCTCTGTTTGATGTGTAGTCCCTAAGTCGCCTCTTACGACACCCGCGGGAAGAGTAGGGGTTGGTGATAAGTCATTGGGGGATTATATGTTCAGTAGTGGACGTCCTATGGCTGAAATGATGATGATGACCTTTCACCAACCTTGCTCGCTAGCCACCATGACCCGGGCGCGCTCGGCCGCGACTCTTCCCAACTGCTCCGCGGCTTCGGAGCCCGCGTTAGACAACAGCAGCCCTTCCAATGCGTCCGAGAGCATTCTCCTAACACCAGGAGACTTCTCTTCGCTTATGTACTGGAAAATGTGGGAAAATGCAACAGATTAGAAGGCAAGGGAACTATCATTATTAGACGGGGGGGAGGGCATTATAGGGCGTTAGATATGGAAGAGGCGACCATACAGTTCACACCATCTGGGCTAGGGGGCGTATTCTGGCCCAGAGGGGGTTTGTAGCTCGAGGAAAGGGGAGGGAGTCATTTTGTCTGAGGGGGGGTCAGGTGTTATTCTGGTGTGTATTCTGACTAAGGGGTCATCCATAAAGTACGTCACACGTAAAGAGGGGGGGAGGGGGTTGACAAAGTGTGACATGGTGTGACAAGGGGTGGGAGGGGTCCTAAGTTTCGTGACATCAGATTTCAATTGTTTCAAATATTTGATATAATGTTGATTTCATAAAAAAAATACTTAATTTAAATGGTAATAAAACTAATTTCGGAACTGCTGTTAATTTAATAATTTTTCGATGTGAAATTGCAAAACATGTTACGTCACACTAGGGAGGGGGGGGGGGTGTCTCAGAAATGTGACCACCGGTGTTTTTAGGGGAGGCATTCTGGGCTGGCGAGTAGGGGGGAGTATTTAGGACTAGTCTGGCCCAGGAGTGTACATACGGGGGAGACAATTCTGAATGAGGTTTATTTTTAAAAGGACACTTTAGGGGGGGTATCTCACCTTTAACAGAGCTGTGAGGCAAGGCACCGAATCACACAGTAAGACAGCTTGTTGCACGCTGGCCGCGTCTACATTAGAAGTGTGAGAATGGGCCCTGCATAATGATCGGATCACTAGCGTTAGAGATAGAGGGGTAATGCCTGGAGTTTGTAGAAAGCATTCTGGGCTAAATGGGGGCATTCTGCGATAGATGGGGGGCATTCTGGGCTACATGGAGGCATTCTGGGCTAAGTAAAGTTATTTGAGCTAGGTAGGGGGCATTCTGGGCTAGATGGGGAACATTATAGGCTAGATAGAGGGCATTATAGGCTAGATGGGGGCATTATAGGCTAGATGGGGGCATTATGGGCTACATGGTGGTATTGTGGGCTACACAGAAGCATTCTAAGCTACAAAGGGACAATCTGGGCTAGTTGAAGGGCATTCTGGGCTACTTGGGGGCATTCTGGGCTAAGTATGTGGGGGCTTATTAGGTAGGAGACTTACCCTCAATAAGGCAGTGAGGCAAGGCACCGAATCACACAGTAAGACAGCCTGTTGCACACTGGCCGCGTCCACGTTAGAAGTGTGAGAATGGGCCCTGCACAATGCTCGGATCACTAGCGTTAGAGACAGCTGGAGAGTCGGGTCTTTGCTTGCTGATACTGGAATAAAAATAGTAAAAATGACATCTCATTTGGGTTAAAATATACTCAACATCAAATAAACCGCACCTTCCGCGAACTTTAAGGATTTTCTTCTGACACAATCATGGTGCCCCAACAATATTGGTGTTATTTGAAAGCACAATAAATAAACTTAAAGAAAAACACATTTTTTTTTTAAAACAATTAACAGGTACCATAAATGTGACTTGAAAAAATGCCTCACTTGGGGCTCACCTCTGGGATCAATTAGACCAATTTTTATGGTTATAAAACCAAATAATGATCTCACGTGTCCTCTTTAACAGATGGATAGCAATTAATCCCAATTTAACAGTTTTATAGCCATAAAAGTTCGCTCAAACGTAACTACCTATTTTTTGAAGAAGTGACTCTGAATCCTTCTAAAGACACATTTTTGGGGTAAAAACCTTTTCTTTAATGAAATGAAGACCTTTGAAATAGACTTTCAAATGGTACCAATGTTGGTGGGAAGTGGGGATGCATACGTTTGATAAGTGCTTGTCGAGCGAGGTGTGATTTATTTGATGCCGAGTGTAGTAAATATGACATCTCATTTGTGTTAAGATAGAAAGACACTGGTCTTAACGCGACCACGGTAATACTATCTATACAGTATTCCAACTCGGCCATATTTTTGAAAAAAATGTCAACAGCCCCGCGGTACGTCACGGTATGACAACATGCGATAGGGCTGCTTACCTACAGTACCCATTCTAATAAAATTACATCTGTCTACTTAGAATTTCTATCTAGTTTTGAGATTGTGATTTTTTTTATTCAGACAAACAAAATACTTTGTGAATGGAATAGGATAAAAATGCGTGTTGTTTGTGATTAGTAGATTTAATTTCAAAAAATATACTAATATAATTTTGAATCTACTAATCATAATGAGTACTTAATGACCTGTTACTTTAATTTCAGGCGGGCGAAATCGTTGGCAAAAGCTGGTTTTATACAATATATAATTTTCATTTCAAATCAAACTGACTGAAAATTACAATTTCTGACAGTTAATGACTAGTTTTTGACAAAGATCGTAAATGACGGTCAGTCAAAATCACCTTAGTCATTTTCAACACTAGGCCATCGCCGTCCGTTCGGCACATTCGCACCCACCCCTAACTTTTGGATTTCGACCACGTCCCGAGATTTGAAATTCGAAGGAAAGCTCGCGTTTCGTCGGTTTATATGAAGTTACAATACTGTATGATATTATTACCGTGACGCGACGTTTATTAATGAGTTACATTATGTTCTCACGGCTTGACGTTTCGACTGCTATGCTGCAGCCGTGGTCACAAGCCGAAACGTCAAGCCGTCAGTACATATGGGACTATTCCCACCTCTCGTTCCCACCGCTGCAACTCCTGTGTAGCCAGGATCTACAGCTTGACCGCCAATAACCCAACCAGTGAAGGTCAAGTTCGTCCCGGGGGAAAGTTAAGCTGTCATTGGACTCGCAAAGACTGTAGCTAATTCAAATTTCAAATTCAAATTCAATAATTTATTTGCTAGAATAAATTTTTTGCTAGAATAATTTGCTAGTATAAATGTAGATTTAATAATACTCACAGTTAGCGCACATGATGCTTAACAGCCTCTGCAAGGCTTCAGGGTTCTCATGGATTATTGCCAACTGCAATATCTTTTGCAAGTTCATCTGTAAACAAATAATAAATTCATCATTTTTGTCACCAACATCATAATCATTCATTATATTATTTAGGTCATTAACACCCGTAATCACAGACATTACTATGAGGTCTCACAGTGCGCGTGGCCGCACAGGGTTACACACGACCCAATCACAGAGCTCTATTCAACCCTGTGAGTTCGATTTGCTGCTTCACTTAAGCAAGCACCGTTTGTGAATACGGGCGTTAGTCTCCACTGCATGGGGATCTAAGAGGTAGGATTAAAGTGGAATAGACCTTTAATAATAAGGGAACCCCCTGGTACCTACACATAGTAAAAGTTTACTTAGTTCAAGATTAGATGGCGCAGTTCGTTCGTTCGTTTCAGCCGAAACACGTCCACTGCTGGACTAAGACCTCCCCTAAGGATTTCCACAAAGACCGGTCCTGCGCCGCTCGCATCCAGGCGCCTCCCGCGACCTTCACCAGATCGTCGGTCCATCTAGTGGGAGGCCTGCCCACGCTACGTCTTCCAGCTCGTGGTCGCCACTTAAATGTAATGGCGCAGTGTAAAAGAAAATTGTTATTTACCTTATAAGAAGTACCTTCATCAGGATTCGGTATATTCAAAGACAGCTTGTCCTTTAGTTGAGCTATTATATTATCATTTTCATAATTATTTATGTAGTTATTGTTGCCATATTTACCTATAAATAAAACATACTATACAACATAAATTAATACAATTTTTTTTTATGCTAGACAAGGCAGGTATTTGACCGCAATCGCACCTGGTGTTAAGTGAGATGCAGTCTAGGATGGTACATATCTGTCCTGTAAGTGCCTATTCACTCTCGCCTTGAAAATAGGCGTCTATAGGTCTAGCGTCTAAAGCCCGGTCGCCGAGCACGTCGAATTTCGTCCAATGACCCCCAGCAACCCATCCTTATCGCTCGCGCGTAATTATGTTGCTGTCGCGCTCGCACACCCACTGCGGGCGCGCGTCGCACAGTCGCGACAGCAATATAATTACGCGCGAGCGATAAGGATGGGTAGCTTGGGGTCATTGGACGAAATTCTACGTGCTCGGCGCCCAGACTATAGCTAAGTCAGTGCCTGAGGTATGGTAGCGTCATAGAAGTGGTGACATTGACATATTATGACGTGACAGAGCACACAAATCTGAAGCACATATTTATTTATTTTATTTTATTTATTTAGGATAACTAACAAGACAGACACAGGTATAAGCAGAGGGGTTTACATGCATATTATATGGGGGCGTAGTGTGAGTTTACGTCAAACGCATTCGATGTCGACTGCGTAAAAAAATGACATTAAATGTATGACGGATTGTACAGCGCCAGTACTATTAGTCCAGTCGATCGTGGCAAGGCAAAAATACTACATTATTGTGTACTAAACTATGCTGTTTCATTTAAGATTTCAAGAAGTATGTAAGTGGTAGATGACCACGGTTTTGTTAGTAAACAGTAGATCTTATGACTAATAAAGTTGGCTACCCCTGCCCCAGACCTATCAATAGACACATTTACCATCTTTTTTAAATTTTATTGTAGCTGATAATAAAATAAAGGTATTTACTTACCAATGAATATAATAACGTCTCTGTGTAGTATCTTAGATTCTTTATCTGTCGCGTGTTTGCGAGTTCGTAGTTTTTCTACCAAGTATAAAAGCTGCAAAAATATTTAAATTCATTACAATGTCTTATACAAACGGGATTTAGTAGCTTTTCATCATCATCATCATCATTTCAGCCACAGGACGTCCACTGCTGAACGTAGGCCTCCCCCAATGACTTCCACATCGCGCGGTTGGTAGCGGCCTGCACCCAGCGTCTTCCTGCTACCTTTGTGAGGTCTTCGGTCCACCTTATTGGTGGATTAGCTTTTACCTTTTTTGTTTTTTTTTTATTTTATAACTAGGGAATAAAGTTCAAAAAATGATGGTAACTATTTCTGCTGCCTTATTAAAGGTAAACAACATTTAGAAACTTATCAAAAAATTACACGTTACTTCAATTAACTTTCAGCTTTAAACAAAAGACATAAAATACAAAATCCATTGGAGTCGTTCATAATTTTTCGTACTTACGTGGTCTAGTTTCTGGGTGTCTAAATCTGGATTGTCGTTGATGATATTCTCTAGTCTTTGGAGCGCTTGAATCAGCACTTTGGGCTCGACGTCGCTTCGCGTGAGTAAAATCTATAAAGCAAAATAATGGCAAATGCAGTTTTATGCTATACTAGCGACCCGCCTTGGCATAGGTGCTATGTATTATACATCCTCTTGAATCACTCTAGCTATTGCTGAAAACCGCATTAAAATCCGTTGCGCAGCTTAAAAGATCTAAACGCACAGACTGCGGGAACAACATAGTTTTATACTATCTATACTAATATTATAAAGCTGAAGAGCTTGTTTATTTGTTTGTTTACTTGAACGCGCTAATCTCCGGAACTACTGGTCCGATTTGAAAATTTTTTTCAGTGTTAGATAGCCCATTTATCGAGGAAGGCTATAGGCTATACAACATCACGCTACGATCAATAGGAGCAGAGCAATAATGAAAAATGTTGCGAAAACGAGTTTTCACGCGTACGAAGTCGCGGGAACAGCTAGTGTAAAGATAAAGAAGCTCAAAGTTCATAATTATATTTCAATACTTATAAATGAGGAAGTGTCTCTGAGAAATAATCTGGGAGAAAGACATAGACTAGTTTTATCTCGATCGTAAAATTTTCTTTCTTGATAGTAATTCGAAAGTGGTGATGATAAATAAAACGCAGGCTAAAGGATTCGTCATTTGTGTGGCAGATCCTTTAAGCTAATAAATAAATATATGGTAAGCAAACCTCAATAGCAGCCAGTACGCTGTCGATTTCCACGTCTTCTACTGGTGCGTGCACTAACAGGAAGCACGCTTCGCACAGCGTTGCTTCATCTTGGCACTTGTCCACTCGGATCGACTGCGAACGATTGGAATTTAATAGTAATTACATTTTTTAGAAAATAATACTAGTAATTTGGATCTCATTTTTGGAAACATGAATGTGACATAATGCTAATTCAATATATCATACGTTTCTGCAATTTATTACACCACAACATCCGATCACGACAAAAAAAAATTCCGGCCCAGTCGCCCGGGACAAACTTGACCTTCATTGGTTGGGTTCTTATGACGGTCAAGCTGTAGATCCTGGCTACACAGGAGTTGCAGCGGTGGGAACGAGAGGTGGGAATAGTCCCGTACCCATAAATTACAATATTAACACTCTCACCTTACAAATTTCTTCCAGACCGCCTCCCAAATGGTTCCCAGCGGCCGTGGCTACACTGAGCACCGAACTGTGGACCGGCAGCCGCGGTAACAGCGCCAGTAAGCGACCGCAAGACAACTGGGGGCTACTCCGAAACGCTATTTACGTAGTGCCAGGTCTGCTGTCACCGTCGCTCATACCGGCATCTCGCTTTGCGTGAGAGGGATGGCAACATTCGAAACTTCGGATAACATTTTTCGGAGTAGCCCCTCTGGCGTCTTTGTGTAGTGTGACAAGTCACTACAGTCATCGCCCAATAGATGGCGCTGACACCTGCCTTACTATGGCACGCGCCAACGCGCCTACAAACCTGCATCGCGGTGTCGAAGTTTTTTACCCTGCCTGGTATAAGTAGAAATACCGAGAAGGTAACAAATGGAAGGAAGCGATTCCACCTTAGCTGCCTTATTTGTGGTATCCTCAAATCGCATGTGTGTATGACAACAAAGCCGCGGACCATCTTACTTTAACTTTGACAAATGTCAAAAGTCTGTCAAATTCCATTCCAAGTGCAACCTCAGCCTATGACTTGCCCCAGGCAGGCCATAAGTTGGGTACGCTGAATCCAGCGCCTTCCTGCTACCTTCATGAGGTCGTCGGTCCACCTTGTGGGTGGACAGAGTAAAACTGAGTAGGCGGAGCCTACGAGTAAGGCTTGACAGCCGTATTCAGAAACATTACTATGAGATCTCATAGTGCGCGTGGACGCACAGGGTCCGAATACCTATTCATAGACAATACTTGAGTGGCGAAGTGACACACACGAACCAATTATAGAGCTGTGCGTTAGACTTCGCATAGCGTTGCTGCTTCACTTAGGCAAGCATCGTTTGTGAAAGTGTCAGCTACAAATAACAAAAAACATAATCTCACCTTACAAATTTCTTCCAGACCGCCTCCCAAATGGTTTCCCGCAGCCGTGGCTACACTGAGCACCGAACTGTGGACCGGCAGCCGCGGTAACAGCGCCAGTAAGCGACCGCAAGACAATTCGGTGTAGTCCTCACAAGGGTGGATGGTTAGGACGTGGTAGGTTAGGGTTAGGAGGGAGGATAGTTTGTCTGGGAGTTGCTGGAACAAACAAAATGATGGTTCAAAAATCAAGTTGGTTTTAATCTAATTCTTTATTAGTATGTAACTTAGACCCGATTAATTTCCACTAAGGCGGAGCGGAGCACGGAAGTTTTTTAAAATAACCAATCAGATTTATTATTTTTTTATGCAAAACAAGGCAGGTATTTGACCGCAATCGCACCAGTGAGATGCCGTCTGGGATGGTACATATCTGCCCTGTAAGTGCCTATTCACTTAGAGACTAGAGAGAAAATCAGCTTTTATGGTATAATGTAAGCCTAACTTTTACGGTGGCTTTTTTTGTACATTCAATAGACTGTAATTCTTCTTAAGTTATACCACAGAATAATAATAAGTACTACGTACAGAAGTTTTACTTCGCGAAGGTATTTAAAAAAATGTATGCTCAATGTCATTAAGAGCGTTTACGCCGTTTGGCGCAAAAACAGTACTTTTTCAACTCGTTACAATCATTAACCAGTAATACTACAAATATGTTATAGGCATAAATAGTTAGGCAATTTCGTCATCTAAATAGTTAATTGAGAAAATATTGCGATTAGTTTAGTATTCAAGAATTATATCAAGATAAGTCCACACAGGTTTTGTAAATTTCCACTTTAGCGTCAGTTTACAAGCTGAAATTTTTATAAAAATACTGTGAAAACGATTTAACAAACATTTATATCCTATAGCATAGATCCTTGGGCAAATAGTTATCTGAGAAAATTTTTAGATATAAGCATTTTACAATAAGAAATCACAAATTAAAAAAACGTGAAATACCCAAAAATCAAAGTGATTTTTTCACCAATATTCTTCCTTTATTCAACACAAAAATAGCTTAATACAATAGAAGAATATCTTATCTAAAATATTTACTTTGAAATTTAAAATAATTCATTGTAATTTTTTTTCTATGAGTATTTGAAAACTACTATAAATCGCCGCGCACGAATCGTTCAAATTCAGTCCGCCTCGAGGCGTTCCAGAGTGAGGTCACGTCGCTCGGTGCTCTGCTGACATGTGTCACGCGTACGTTGATCTTTGACAGGTAGCTGGACTTTTATAGTGTATCCGCAAAATCTTGGTGGTAGATTTTGCGATCACGTGGTAATTAAAATATTTTATTGTTATTTTTCATTACAGTCTATTTTTACTACAAATTCTATTTCAGACGTAATGAAAAATAAAATTAAGTTATTTTTAGCGATGAAACGAAAACGAATGACGAAAATTTGGAACAGCAAGTTATGTATGTATACNCTCTCGAACCAATGTAAAAGCAACATCTACTGCGTGTAGTACAAATACAACTTTACAAAAACCGGCTCCAGAGTTTTTCTCCGCAACAAGGTCTTTTTTCAAGTCACATTTATGGTATACTAGCTTTCCGCCCGCGGCTTCGCCCGCGTGGAATTTTGTCTGTCACAGAAAAACTTTATCGCGCGCGTCCCTGTTTCAAAAACCGGGATAAAAACTATCCTGTGTTCTTTCCCGGGACTCAAACTATCTCTATGCCAAATTTCATCAAAATCGGTTGCGAGGTTTAAGCGGGAAAGCGTAACAGACAGACAGACAGACAGACAGACAGGCAGACAGACAGACAGACAGAGTTTCGCATTTATAATATTAGTTGGGATGTTTATCATTTATTAAGAAGTTAAATGTGTTTTTAAGGATAATTATTGGACTTTCAAATAACACCAATATTGTTGGGGCACCATGATTGTGTCAGAAGAAAATCTTTAAAGTTCGCGTCGCGGAATGTGCGGTTTATTTGATGTTGAGTGTATTTTATGGTCCCACATTCGATGCTCGTGAGTCCACATTTAAAAGTTAACGTTTATCTTTTGAGTTTTGAAACTTTGAGAAGGAAAACCTCACACAGACGCGTCTCTGAATACTAACTAGTTTGTTGTTTACTAGCGGAAGATGAGGGTAGCTGCTAAGTATGTTTTGACATTCTTTTGCTATAGGAAAGCAGAGTCTCCAGGGCGTGTTTTGCCCTACGTTCGTTCGTTCGTTTCAGCCAAATGACATACACTGCTGGACAAAGGCCTCCCCCAAGGTTTTCTATAATGAACGGTCCAGCGCTGCCCGCATCCAGGCTCTTCCCGCGACCTTTACCAGATCGTCGGTCCACCTAGTAGGAGGCCTGCCCTACAGAATCAACAAAAACATGTCAACATTTAAAATTTTTTGAAGGCAGTTTTGTTGAATGGTGAGATGTTGATCCACGAAGACGCTTTCCGCCAATTTATGGTCGAGGGAAGCGCAGGGTGCGGGTTTGATCTAAGCAATCCGAGCGTCATTATTGAGTGCGTGTGCACTCATGGATAGTTTAGCGTGTACCGATAACACTCAAACATTAGCGGAAGAATGGTGGGGCGCGTCTTCGTGGATGAAATGATCTATAGCCAGTGTCAAGCAAACCACTTCTGCTTCTTTTCGTGTCGACAACAAACCTACAGTAATAATGTAATAGCAACCCACTGTATTGATGATTAATAGATGATTTAGTAGATGATATTATTATGTCCCCGATTTGCTTGAGTTTCAGTGAAGAAGTGGCACTTTACTGCAATTTCACTTCTAGAGAATTTTAAATGATATTGCACTGTTTTTCTTTTCATTTTCCTAGACTACAACTCCGGCACGTTCACGAACACTTAAGTTAATTAATATTCGGCACTATTGTGCCGAATATTAATTATCTATTGATAAAAATAGTTTTTTCTTGCCACTAGAAACTAGAAACTGACAAGTGGTAGATTTGACAATTGACCTGGCCATAGCATAGACCCATAGACCTAGCCATAAGCAAAATAAGAAGAAGTTTTTTATACGAGAATGAAAACAGGAAAAAGCGGTAATTAAGTTATCTAGGAACTTAAAAATTGGATTTTCCAACTAAAAACTTACACAACGAAAAATATGGGTTCACTTAGCAATAAAACTTCCACTTCGTAACATATTTTTTATTAAACATAATATTTACATTGCCTATCTGCTTAATTACTAGCGGTACAAAGTTATCGTAAAATATTCCTAACTATTCATCACATCCATAATAAAGAATAAAATATGTTGAGCAAAATGATACTATTATAATACCAGACTTAAGACTTACAGCCTGGTCAAGTTAACTGCGCACCTGGCAGAGCCGTGACGTCACATCGACGCTCTGGTACGGACGGGGCGAACGTGGGGAGGTGCGCAGTTAGCTTAATCGAGTTATAAACCCCGGTCTTTGAGCAAGTAGAAATTTGTCCAATGACCCCAAGCTACCCATCCTTATCGCTCGCGCGTAATTATATTGCTGTCGCGACTGTGCGACGGACGCCCGCAGTGAGTGTGCGAGCGCGATAGCAACATAATTTACTCGCGAGCGACAAGGATGGGTAGCTTGGAGTCACTGGACAAAATTCTACGTGCTCGGCGACCAGACTATAGTTACGCACGACACAATAATAGAACACTGATTATTTGATCATTCTACCAATATAATAAATCTGCCGATATTTTTGTTATCAGGTAATTATTGCATACTTAACGCTTTCTTAAAGATTTGTCAACGTCTTACAGGATAAGAAGTTGAAAACTATTGCATGGTTTAATCCAAGTACAGGTACGTAAGTCTTATGGAACTTAGAAACTAAATGACAAGGTAAAGAGGTAAAACTATACACAGTAACAATAAAAAGGAAATCTTTAAGCCTCTGGTACACTGCTTCAGTATGACGAGAGAGAAACGTTATCCTTGAGTACTTAGAAGATGAGCACAATCAGCTGGAAATCTCAATTCAAATAAGTGCCTAAGTATCAGAGGTTTATTATATGTATAACTGGACAATGGTAATAGGTTTAAAAATAAAGATAATTATCATTGGTTTCACAGTAACACAGATAAAGGAAAATTGAAAAGAAGATCTATCTGTGGTCCATACAAAATGACACTTAAAACTCGATTCAATCTGAAGCTTAGATTAAGCTTAAGGCTTTTGATTTCTTTAATTCACAACGAGGAAGCTCATGACCTGCATCTCGTCTGATGGAAAGTGATGATCAAGCTGAAGATGACTAGACCACAAAGAAATTGCCTATATTCATTGATTGGATGAATTTCATTCAATAAATTGACCCATTATAGGACAAATCTAACACCCGTATCCGCAAATCGAACGCACAGCGTTGAATAGAACTCTGTGATTGGTCCGTGTGTGAGTGACCCTGTGCGTCCACATGGACTGTGAGACCTCATAGTAATGTTTGTGAATATGGGTGTAAGAATCAAATTTTGAGCATTATTTTGTAAGGACCCAAGTCTTTGTCCGGTCGAATCTCAACTTACCCAAAATCTAACCCTAAATCTAACCACCTAAATATGAGTAGACACAGTGGACACTGACACCGTTGATATGCCAGGCTTGACCTGGTTTCCGTTGTTGTCTTCCTGCTCCATTTTAGGCTTCCTCTTAGGGCCTAAGAGGATCTTTTGAAGCTGGCAGGCTGGGGCTTCCACGAAGAGATATAGGGGAAGCGCCCAGAGGTATGTGGTGCATACGATTCCCGCGAAGAGCATTATCTGGTGAACAGTATCAAAACAAATCAAATTACGTAAATAGTAAACATAAAATGGCAATCGAAAAGGTTAGGTAATGTACATTTTAAAATTGCAGTTTTGTGAATCTTGGTCTGTGGATTCCAAAACTACTGCATTGATTTATATTTTATATGCTCTGTTGCGTATCATGTAAGCAACAAAGTACTGTATTGGATTGAAAAAGTGGCTGACAAAGGTGACTGAGTTTCTTCCGCCACTTCTTCTCAGCACCAGCCCATATATTGTCCCGAAATGGTGGTAAGGCAAGCTATAACTATTTGGGACGTGATTAAGTGCCCTGGAAAGGGCCTATGTACTGAATAAACTATTTGAATTCGAATTTGAATATGACTCCGTCCCATATAAATGTTGATTCTTGGTCTAATTCTTAGGGACGGTTACAATTTCAAATACTTATTAAACAATTATATTATTATATCATTTACTTACCGCGGTGTAGTCGGTAGCATAGAAAGACCTCCTCATCTGTCCTCCATATGTCCTCAGGACTGTGGCGTGCAACAACATAGCGCAGTACGACATCCTACCCAGAGGCTGGAGGGGACCCCACTCTACTGAGCCTACGTAGATTTCTGTAAAAATATCAATTGATTAATTCAAGTTTTGAGGTATAAGAGTTGCCTTTAACAGAAAAGGTCTTAAAGTTAATCCTTGCGGAACACCTCTGTGAATTTGCTGATTTATTTAGTGTTTATGTTATAATCACTTCTGTGATAGATAAAAAGAAAAATATTAAATAACTTTCCTTATTAATTCATTTGCAAAACATATCTTTAAACGGTATCAAACGCTATCATCAGTTCCGTATTAAGAATTTCGTATGATAATCGAAACACAACTTAGTATTTTTTAAAGTTATTAGGCCATTAATCTTCACTGTAGGAAAACGACTTTCTGTAATTTACTAGAGACATGTAAATATTTTGTCTATTGGTTAGTTTAGTAGTAGTAATAATTATGTTCTACTCACTGTTTAATCTGTAGAAGTATCCAATGATGAAGACACACATGGCTAGAGCGAAGAAGTTCTGGTTCAACGCGTTGAAGACAGCGGACTCGAGGGCCGATGCCTCCCTGTGGTGAAGGTCCCAGCCCATCAAGACTGCTCCGAAAGCAATCGGGACTGACGCGAGGAACAGGAGTTTGAGGAGCTGGAAAAAGTAAGTTAAATGTGATATTTGAATGTAATGAAAAGTGTTGAACAAGTTAGACTGCTAGGTGCCTTCAGGCAATTACTGTAGTTAGTTTACATCCCTTTCGAATAGAAGTTTTTAGCAAGCTTATGATGTCGTCTTACTAAAAGTTGCCCAGAATATTTTTGAACAGCTGAATATTTCAACAGAGGTACTTTGTACAGCTTCATCACTTACGGTTTACCTACTTAGGTCTGACACAAGCTGAGTGGTTGCCATTTTGGTTCAATTACCTACTTTAATTTATTTTACTACCCCGCAGGGAGAATGCATTTGTAAAAACCAAATAAACAACTAAAAGTGTTTCTTTTGTTAACTTTCTCATTTTGATAATGCAAGTGAGTAATAAATGTCAGCTTCCAAATACTACGAATTCATGCTTAAAACTCGTAAGTACTCTGATTTCCAGTGGGAGTCCATAAAGTGGGATATCCACCTACAAGGTGGACCGACGACATCGTAAAAGTAGTAGGGAAGCGCTGGACGCAGGCCGCTACCAATCGATCAACGTGGAAAGCATTAGACGAGGCCTATGTTCAGCAGTGGACGTCCTATGGCTGAAATTATGATGATGATGATGAGTCTAAATTCCAAGTACTTTAAAGTGTAGGGGAGACTGGGGCTGGTTCTAACAAATTTTGATTTGAGCGTAATATTTTCTAAACTGCTTTAGCAAGAAACATGGTTTTTTGGTACGTGATGTCAAATTTAATGAGCTTTACGTAAAGTACAACAAAATGTATATAATAATTACCATATCTGAGAAAAATCGAGTTTTGCCAAACAAGTCACTTGTTAGATCTTACCCCCGGTTTGGGGTTGGTTTTAACATCGCTGGGGAAAGTTTTAACAGGGGGGGTAAGAAATGATTTATAGTTAGGAATGGGATTTTGGCTAAGATAAACAACAAAATAATAATCAATGTTTATTAGAAACACTAATAAAATTAAATGCGGTTCCTTACCGTTCATAAAATAAACANAACGCTCTTAAAGCGATCCAGCGCGAAGCGGTCGCGGAGCGGTTCATGTCACACAGCGCTATCGCCGCAGCCCGCGGCGGGGAGGCGGTCGCTAGCTTTCCCGCTTTCGGAGAGCTCCGAGACCGCGACCGCGTGTATTTACATTGTTAGTTATAATTGTCGAGACCAGTACGGCTAGCACGAAAAACTTTCGAGTTCGAATCGTATGCAGATTTAGTACGAAAACTGCAACAGCGCCCTTGTGAACGTGTCGTAAAGTGAACTTAGTATGAAAAATGGTTGCACGAAACTTATTTTGAGAATCAAAATTGTCACGTTATCGTTTAATTCGAAGGTTGAGTAACTAATTTTGTCGAATACGCAAACGATTTGAAGACGAAAGTTATTCATGCTAGAGGTACAGGGATGGATGAGCGTCGCTGTCGCTGGCGACAGGGTCCTCTGGTTCAGGGTTCATGGCGTAGGTCTCAGGCAAAATCCACTCGTAAAAATTAATGAACTCAGTGTATTCACGAAAATAATTACAGCACTAGAGTTGTATCGGAACTGAGTGAACCATCAGTCTTGCGATAGGAACGTCCGACCCGAGTGATAGTTGAACACAGACTGGCACTAGCTCAACGATTCCCCCACCAACACCAATACATACGAGTACATAACTTACCAGTATTCCAGTCACCCCAAAACACCTTCTCTCCGTACAGAGTGAGCGCGTACGGCATGAGTATGTTGTCTGCTAATAACTTCCTGCCAGTGCCATTGAGGTAGATATACTCTATGGCTGGGGGATCCAGCGCCGCCCAGTAGAGCGCGCGCTTGTCGTAGTCTATCGCACGGTACGGACGTGCGCTCCGCCTCGCCCGCCCGCTCGCATGCGCTGCGCTCCGAGTTCGTCGAGCTTATCGCCCTCGCTCTGCGAGTCTTGTTTCTGTGGTGTTTTGTCACAANAACTAGGAATATACTAGGGATATTTTGAAAATAATTTTTGAGAAATATAAAAAAATAAAAAGTTTAATCATTGAATGAAGTTACCAACCAGTTGGTAACTGACATTGTTATTAGTTACTAACCTGCTAATGACGTTTTAATGAAAATAATAGAAATCAATATTGATTAAATAAACAACTTAAAAATCGAACTGCCTAATAGGCCAGTAGAATTACATTTGAAATCGGAAATAATTCCTACAAAAGATTTTATTGTTTTGATGGCTTCATTTGTTACCCATTAAGACTATCCTAAATTTTCGACTTCGACGGAGTTGTGCTTAAGTGGTGGGGGCCCCCGAAAGGGGCGTTTTTTCGGTTTTACGGTTATATCTCGTAAAGGACTTACCCTATCGAAAACTGGTCTCCATGACGGTTGAAGGGCATTTAATCCTGCATTGAATAAGACCAAATTCATATGTATTGGACAAACCGTACTCGTGCTTATCTTCGAAAAAGTACAAAATGTACGTATAATTATTGACCCTCTCTACGTACAATGGCTCGTCACTCGCAGGCTCCCAAGCCTTGTAAAAGGCCGACTCAACCAGCTTAACCCTGTCAATGCTTAAGAGCTGGATGAACCTATCCTTGTTCGTCCCAGTCGTCCCTAACTGCGGTTACTGCACCTCTTTCTTGCACTCTCCTGAACGACTCTGTGTTTCCATACCAGGCATCGATTAGGCAACGTATCGAATGGCTGGGACGAACAAGATATAGGCGCATCCAGCTCGTAAGCCTTGACAGGGTTACACTGGTTGAGGCGGTCATTGTCAAAACTTGGAATCCTGCGGGTATCGAGCCATTGGACGTGGAGAGGATCATTAATTATATGTACATTTTGTACTTTTTCGAAGATAAGCACGAGGACAGTTTGTCCAAAACATATGAATTTAGTCTTATTAAATGCAGGATTAAATGCTCTTCAACCGTCATGAAGACAAGTTTTCGATAGGGTAAGTCCTTTACGCGTCCGAAAAATGCGGGGCCCCCGCCACTTAAGCACAACTCCGTCGACGTCGAACTTTTAGGATAGTTTAATGGGTTACAAATGAAGCCATTAAAACAATAATATCTTTTGTATGAATTATTTCCGATTTCAAATGTAATTCTACTGGCCTATTAGGCAGTTCGATATTTTAAGTTGTTTATTTAATCAATATTGATTTCTATTATTTTCATTAAAACGTCATTAGCAGGTTAGTAACTAATAACAATGTCAGTTACCAACTGGTTGGTTACTTCATTCAATGATTAAACGTTTTATTTTTTTATATTTTCAAAATAAAAATTATTTAAAAATATCCCTAGTATATTCCTAGTTATATGAGTATTAATTTACATACTATTCTCGTATTGAAAGCGGTTAATAACTTCATAAAATAACATCAAAGACTTGAAAGATCACCTACCGAAAATTCANCTCAACCAGCTTAACAGGGTTAAGCTGGTTGAGTCAATGCTTAAGAGCTGGATGCACCTATCCTTGTTCGTCCCAGTCGTCCCTAACTGCGGTTACTGCACCTCTTTCTTGCACTCTCCTGAACGACTCTGTGTTTCCATACCAGGCATCGATTAGGCAACGTATCGAATGGCTGGGACGAACAAGATATAGGCGCATCCAGCTCGTAAGCCTTGACAGGGTTACACTGGTTGAGGCGGTCATTTTCAAAACTTGGAATCCTGCGGGTATCGAGCCTTTGGACGTGGAGAGGATCATTAATTATACATATTATGTACATTTTGTACTTTTTCGAAGATAAGAACGAGGACAGTTTGTCCAAAACATATAAATTTGGTCTTATTAAATTCAGGATTAAATGCTCTTCAACCGTCATGAAGACCAGTTTTCGATAGGGTAAGTCCTTTACGCGTCCGAAAAATGCCCCTTTCGGGGGCCCCTACCACTTAAGCACAACTCCGTCGACGTCGAAAATTTAGGATAGTTAAATGGGTTACGAATGAAGCCATTAAAACAATAATATCTTTTGTATGAATTATTTCCGATTTTAAATGTAATTCTTCTGGCCTATTAGGCAGTTCGATTTTTTAAGTTGTTTATTTAATCAATATTGATTTCTATTATTTTCATTAAAACGTCATTAGCAGGTTAGTAACTAATAACAATGTCAGTTACCAACTGGTTGGTAACTTCATTCAATGATTAANATTTTCTACGATACATATTTAAAGAGTAATGCAAAAAATTAAACACGTAAAAAAGTTCATTTTCCTGTGAAATTGGAGGCGTCTGACGCAACCTGCTCCCGTGACGCTTGGCCGGCAACTTACAAGTCGAGACACGTTCGCGCGTATTCGTAGGCAGAAAGTGCGTTGGAATTAGCGTGGTAAGTCGAATAGGTTCTATGTAATTACGCTGTTAGTATTTACCCCTGTTAAAACCAGCCCCAGTCTCCCCTAATTAGAAACGTTAGAAACTTACGAGAGAATTGCCCAAGTTCCACTTCTCAGTCTGAGCCCGGTGGTAGAAGTAGGCTGTCAAGACGCCCAGGTGGTACCCAGCCCAGTTGCCTTGAGCTGACACATATGCGTGGTAGAACGTCAGGTTTGACCCGAAGATGTCTCGGATAGATCTGAAAACAAAAGTATACAATATTGACGAAAATGGAAACGAGAAAGAGTTGACAACGCAAATAAACTGATTTGATTTTATTTGATTTGATTTGATTTGATTTGAATGAAATGTTCATCGTATTATACACATGGGTACTGCACTGCATGTATGCACCTAGTAAATCAAACAATGAAACAATTTTATTTTTTAATTTAAAGGACCGTTAATCCTTCAAGCTTAGTTAAATATAATATGCTTTTGTTACGAATGGATTCACCACAATAGATATAGTTAAATATTTTCAATCACAAATATTCAGATTTAGAATATTTGCAAATAAATAATCCTAAAAACAACATGTTTCAAAAGCAGACGCAAAGTCGCAGATCAAGATTTTGTAGTAAAAAAAATATAGGGGAGAGTTCGGTATATTGTACCGCCGGGTAAATTGTAGCCACCCTCATATTTCGTAAAGTATTTATTGAATGTCTGTAATTGCAACACTCAGCGATACACAACTAAAATAAATTAATATCGGCCATGTGGTTTTTGCCGTGACAACAAACACGTGTGTTTTATTTTGAAAAGTATTTTTTCATTGTTTTCAAGTAACTTTTGACAATACACGTTTAGTTTGTAATTTTGTTAAATTTAATCACAGGGTGTTTCTAATATATTATTTAGAAGCGTAAATTAGTGTGGATTACAATTATTTGAAACATTTTTCGGTATTTATAAGCTATATTTTTTACCGATTTTTTAAAAAGCACTATCACCTAGTCGGCTAAATTGTACCACATCAAGTTGTATGGAACTTTACCAAAGGATTTTGAAATTTTTTTTAGTAAATCATATTTTGAAGTTATAATAGCATAGTTATGTTTGAATAACAATAAATGAAAGCAAAAGACTGGCAAAGTAGATTAGGTACAAGTGTGCGTTACGATAATTGGAATTACAAAACTTGTACTCAAAATCGTGATATCGTGTAAAACAATATCGATTGTCTATGTTCCTTTTTTAACTACTGTTCCTTTTCGTTTCCTAATTTGTTAAGAATGTATCGCATAATATTTTGCCTTAGTTTTTTTATAAGCTTGAAATTTATTGAAATCCAATTTAGTAACCCTGTGGTACAAATTATCGAACCGGTTGGCTAAATTGGACCGAAGCTCTGAACTCGTACTTTGTTGATTTGTGCTAAATATACAACAATCATGTTAATTAATACTTATGAAATAGTAAGTTGAATAATGTATCTTTTATTATATACCATGGACATTAGCAAAAACAAAAGAAAACTATGTGTAAAATGGGATTGAAAAAAACTGGTCCAAATTAGCGGACTCTCCCTTAATAAGTAAATTTTAAATTAGGAGTCACTATAACATAAAAATAAACTTACTCTGGGAAAAGACTGACTCTTATAGGCAGCAGTTCCATGAAGTAGCTCTGCAGGAAGGGTATGATGAGACTGATGGCCATGACAGACGTCAGCACCGGGACCCCACTCCTCGGCCACCGCCATATGATCAGCATCACCACCAGGGTTATGAGGAAGAGCTGCGTGTCTGTGCCAAGGTACCTGGGGAATTACATCATTATCATCATTAGGTAATTTTGTCTACACTGCAGAAGTCTGCAGTTAGTGTGGTAAATATAAGCCAAATCCTTCATTAGCCTCTGGCAAAAAAAAAGTACAAAGTTGTAACGCGGGTTCGAATTCCACCACCGCTCGACTATTGTGGTGAGCCCACTCGTAACACAAGCTTATTTAGCTTACCACGAGGGGCTAACGGGACTATTAGTTATTTGGGCAATACAAATTGCTAATAATCTTTTACACAAAAAAAAAGATTTATGGGAATCCTTAAGATTCTAGATAGTAAATACTTGACATAATTTCCAAACTTCCAAGGCTGACCTTCAGCAAAATGAATAAAGTAAAGCAGAAAATTATAGTAATAATTCAATAAAGAAATTAATATTGTCTGATCATCTACGAAATAGGTCAGTACGTCTATTCGAAGGTCATTGCTAACTATAAATAAATCTTTGGACAATTTCACACAGCGCCAGCTAGCCTCAAAGTAAGCAACTTAATGCTTGTGTTATGGGTGCTAGCTTAACGGATATACTACTTATATACTTTTTTTTTAAATGCATACATATTATACATAGTAACACCCAGACCCGTCTCAGAAATTAAAATTCTTCATTTCAATTTCTGCCCCGGGAATCGAACCCCGGACCTCTCGGCATAGTAGTCCATTGAACCGCTACGCCAAACGGCCGACAACTATACAATTATTAATTAATGTCGAATGACTCAATTTTTAAACCTTTTATACAGACGAAAATAGTAACGCTGTGGCATTTTACTAAAACGTATTAGCAATCTTGCAAATGGTGGATAAGTTGCTTGCAATTTCTCATGTAGACCTTCGAAGATAAAATCTTGTTGCTTTTGCAGAGATGCCCTATTTTGATAGCCAGCTGTTTTTAAAACAAAAACATACTAAGGTAATTATATGAAAAAAATATGGGTGTTTGTGATTTGTAGAATAAAAAGACTCGTGAAGATACTTGTCATAAACTTAGTGTGAATTTTTCAATTAGTTTCCAAAGTAATACTCGTATGTCAAGGCAGAGTGGGTCAAGTCATTTAAATAACATTAAGTTTTATAAACATAGAACATCTTCATATAATTTCAATTTATTTATTTGTAATTAACTGTTCATGTCCATTTTAACCAGATACCTAACTAATTACGTTTACAAATTAATTTCTAGAATGCAATTGCAAAACAGAGGATACGCTGCATTATTATTATGCGAATCCATGACGTATGACCGACGAAGTTTTGTCGAAATATACAATTTATGCGATTCCTATCCGTGACGAAGCAATCATGTGTGTCGCATTACTATTTGTTTACTTCCATTCATTGATTCAACCAAAGGACGTCCACTGCTGGACAAAGGCCTCCCCTAAGGATTTCCTTAACAACCGGTCTGCTCTCCCCGCATCCAGGCATACTACTATTCAATATTAATCATTGTAGATACTAGCCAGAATCCTGGAATCAGGTACTGGAAAGCGCAGCGTGGTCCACTCAAAAGGTGGACCGACGACCTCATAAAGGTAGCAGGAAGGCGCTGGATGCAGACCGCTTCCAAACGGTCAATATGGAAATCATTGAGGAAGAACCTACGAGAATTTTCAGTAGTGGACTTCCTATGGTTAAAATGATGATGATGATGATGATGACGTAGTCCAACAATATACAGGGTTAAGACTTTATGCCCTATTTATTTGTCTCTTACAAATGCCATGAAGCAGAACTTAACATATAATTTTATTTTAATAATAATAATAATATCCAGAACTGCAAACATAAAATGTGGCAACATATTATTATTTGCAAAAATCAAGATGTCCTCTTTACGCTGGCAAACAATTTGACGGTTGCCAAGGTTTATTTTACTTCTGTTGTAACACAATATTTGAGTGGTCAATTTGACCGACTCATGCGCAAGGTTGTCCATTAGTAGCCGGTTGGTAAGGTGAACGAGAAATTTTTGAATGAATTATTTATTTGGTGAAGGTAGAGTTATAGTAATCTAAGTTAGATTTTGGATCTTTGTGAGATCATAGCTAGATATCTATGGAATCCAGGAATCCGGATTCGAGAGAATTTAACTATGTAATCGCTAGATATAAATGAGTGAAACTGTTAAAGAAGCCATGATAATGCCATTAGTTGAAATGATGATGGTAAAGAGAGCTCAGTTTCATGGCCTAATACCGGACGTAAGCGTTGGGAGATTCCAAGGAAGGAATGCCACAAAGTACGATCTCCCGCTTTTAACATCCAGTCAATGCCGGCTAAACTCTGGTGGTCATCATTCTATTAAGTAATTGGGCGTTCTCCACTACATAATTATACCGAGGCGGAATATTAGTATTTATTCATCACAAAACAAAATGCTAAAACAGGAATGAGAGGTATACTCATCTTATTATAAGTGAGCGCCCCTTATTACAAGACATAAATGCTTTATCTGTAGTCAAACCACTTACCTACCGTGCTGAAGCAGAGATACTCAAAGTGGAAGAAAATCGGTATGAGGATAACCGGTGGAAATCCCACACTACGTTTCCCGAAACGTTCTACTATAAAAATCAAATCAGAAGTCAAATCAATTACCAAGCCTGAGGCAAACAAAGGTGCTCGAAGGGGAACAGATTAGGCATGAGGATGACCAGCTGCCACCAGTTGGCTCGGCACATGTCCCGCTCTCTTTTGACCACGGCGTCCCACATGGGGCCAGACCCCAAGTGAGGCACCCAGGTCATAGCTAGAGCCATGACTACGAGTACAGCGGGCATCAATCTGGAAAAGAATAGAATAGAATAGAATAGAATAGAATAATTGTTTATTTGCATAAAACATGGTATACAGTTGTTACAGCTATAAAATAAGTCCACATGTTTTGCTACATCAAGAAGCATGCAAGTTTGAATATTAATACATAAAAAAGAAACAATGTCATTATAATTATATCAATTTTCAACAGTACAGTACAGTTTTACAATAATAAACGTCCAATAAATTATTAATTATGTCAGCTATGTCAAAAATTACATTTATACATATTTGAATGTCAAGAAATCCTTTATTTCATAAAAACTATGGTTCATAAGCCACCTGTGTAGTCTATTTTTAAACATATTTATATTAAGATCTTTTATTTCTTTAGGGATTTTGTTATAAATACGGATCCCCAAGAAGAATAAAATACTCGTTAAAATCGAAATGGGATGGCCAGGAGTCAGGAATGACAACATGGAATTTTTAATGTTTTTTAATGATTTTTTTTTCTTCTTTTTGTGTTAAAAAGCCATAACCTTTTTTTATACTTATCAAGGTAGGTATTTGACCACAATCGCACTTGTTGCTTAACAACAAGTGCGATTGTGGTCTATAAGTGGGATACAGTTGATACAGTGTGGTACATCTGCCCCGTAAGTGTGTATGTGCCTATTCACTCTCGCCTTGACCCGGACCCGGATTATAGTATTCGGGAAAGACAGCAGCAGGGAGTGAATTCCAGTCCCTAGCTGTTATTATTAATTCATCATTATTACTACAATCGGTTGCACAACAGACTCCACTTTTTTGTTGCAATCTCTCTCTTATTACAACTCTATAAGATGCCACATAAAATAGTTATATACACTGAAATGATCGTATTTAACAGTGATAGTACCTACATAAGGTCACCCATATACATGCGTGCCTAGTACATTGCGAAACTAGCTTCATATTCTTGAAGGTTAACGTTAATTTGCGTAACTTTTTAATTTATTGCCTAAACTTGAATTCGAAAGTTAAACTAGGTCTAGCACTTAACTCAATCAGTAGGGTATGGGAGGGGTGACATTGACATAATATGACGTGACAGAGCTTAAAAATCTGAAGGAGATTTGAAGTCTGCAATCTTTTAAAAGACGTTGCAAAATTTTATATTCCTAACACTTGTAGTGGAGTAGAATTAAACACAAAAATGAATCAAATCGGAAATAATTCCTTTTTAGAATAATTTTTTTTTTTTGCTTTAATGGCTTCATTGGTTGCCCATTAAGACTCTCCTAGGTTTTCGACTTCGACGGAGTTGTGCTTAAGTGGTGGGGGCTCCCGGAAGGGGCGTTATTTCGGTTTTCCAGTTACAATCCTATCGTAAAGTGGTCTTCATGACGGTTGAAGGGCACTTAATCCTGCATTAAATCATTTGGAAACCTAGGAGTCTTAATGGGCAACCAATGAAGCCATTAAAGCAATAATTTAAATTCTATTGTAGGAATTATTTCCGATTTAAAATCTAATTCTACTGGCCTATTGAAGTTTTTGACATTTCGTGATGAATGAGTCAGTCAGTCAGTGAAATTTCGGTTCTTTTATCCAAATTCAAAATCTAAAAGAACTTTTAGCTAAAAAAAGCTGATGACGGTAGATGGAATAGACCCTTAAGTCAATAGGTCATTTCATGACTGGGAAAATATTTGTTTAAAAAATATTACCTAGTTAGTCAAGTGCTAAGTCCACTTTTTTTTTCAATTTTAGGAGACGATGATGGAATCGAATCTTGTCTATTTGTATAAGTCTTATTTGTTAGCATACTCGTATTATATCCTTTTGTGGGGTCATAAAGTGACATAATGATAATGATGATGATGAATAAAGTCTCTACATATGTATAACGTCAATAAGATGCAGTTAAAATGACTTATGTAAAGGAATAATCCAAGAAATGTTTATAAGAATTAATGATGATGATGATTAATGAAGAAGATAATAATTATATGTAGACAAATGAATGATATAAAGGGTGATAATTTACAGCCGATTGGGTTGGTGGTTTGCGTGCCGGATTATTAAGATAGAGGTAAAAGGTTCGATACAATCATCATAATTATTATCATCATTTCAGCCACAGGATGTCCACTGCTGAACATAGGCCTCCCCCAATGATTTCCACCATTTATAGTGATCTGTGAATTCCACATCGCACGGTTGGTAGCGGCATCCAGCGCCTTCCTGTTACCTCTATCAGGTCATCGGTCCACCTTGTGGGTGGATGTCCCACGCACGATACAATAAAACTTTTTAATGGACTGGGTATTTTGGGTGTTTTATCATTATGTACACTAATATTATAAAGAGGAAAGGTTTGATTATTGGTATTGAATAGGCTTCGAAACTAATGGACCGATATGAAAAAAAATCATTCACCACTAGAACCCTACTTTTTTTTTGATGAACGTAGACGGTACGAAATTCGCCGGGTCAGGTAGTATGTAACCATACAAGTTATTGTGTCATGCATACTTTAGCACGTGTACATAATTATTATTATGTATTTTACCACGTGTAAGGCTCACTGGCCTTCGTGAAATGCAACAAAAAAAAATATTTGAAATTAATTTAATAAAATAAAATGAAAATTCATCGAGAATTTCTTCAGATTCTAGACATATTGACATTGACATACATAACTGAATAAATAATGTGTTTTCCATAAAATAACCTAATGTCATTTCTGCTCTAAAGTTCAAAATGTCAAATAATTTAAGTAGATACAATTCAACAATAACTAACACAATGTTATACCTACCTATTACAAATGCAGAAAATTTACATGAGTTTTTGTATTAACAAAAACATGATTATAATATTTTGTATACAGGGTGTTAGGTAAATGGGTATATGAGCCGACACTAGCCTATGTTAACATGGGCATATAAATGGTATTCATTCATTGGTAACATCATTGGCTAGTGTCGGCTTATATACCCATTTACCAAACAACCTGTATACAGGGTGAAATTGAAATCATTGTCATCCTTTTAACAAAAGACTACTCATGATACTTACCTACATTATTACATTTCCCAAGAGACAAATCGAATAAGATTTTTTGTCTTTATTTTAACTATTTTTTTATTTGTATTAGTACGCTTTTATAAATAGATTTCGAATATAAAAATATATAATTTAACTAATTAAGACATGACAAAAAAACTAAGGTATGTCTCGTTTCTGTCGGGCCGGGGTCACAGATGACCGTTCTTCTTTGTGAATGTATTTTGTGATTGTAATATTTTATTTTATTTTGTCAAACAAAATACTTTGTGAATGAAATAGGATATAAAATGCATGTTATTTTGTGATTAGTAGATTTAATTTTAAAAAATATTTTGTATTAAGATTTAGTATCAAATCTTATAAATTTGCGACCGTAAAATGTATGCGCCTCGACTGAGGCGTACAAAATGCTGGTGTTAGGTAAAATGGGTTTATAAGCGGACACTAGCCCATGTTAACATGTGCATATAAATGGTATGGTGAGGTCAGAAAATTGATATCATCATTTTAATAATTTTAATTTTCATACAAATCTGATTTTATACATTTTATTTTGTATGAAAAAAAAAATGATGATATCACTGACTTGACCACACCATTTACATGCATAATTATGTTAACATGGGCTGGTGTCGGCTTATAAATCCATTTACCTAACACCCTGTATAAATAGGTAGTTGTAATTATTTTTATAAAAAAAAGCACGTACTGTTTAAAAAACAACAACACAACTGTGGCACATTCGCGACACCCCCGACTTTTGCATGTCGAGCGCATACCGAGATTTGAATTTCGAAGGAAAGCTCGTGTTTCGTCCATTTATATGAAGTTACAATACTGTATGCCATCGTTGGCAATTTCACCCTGTATAATATTTCGTGAAGTTCAATGGTGATTTAGTACTGATTTACTAATTTGTTTTGACTCGTGTTGATGTCACGAAGTCATGCTAATAGATCCGCCAGACGGAGAGTAAACATTGTCTCATTACTTTAGTAACAGTTATGTTAGCTGACCTTCCTTCCACAATTATTTTAATGTTTGTTAAACAAAAGTACATAATTAGCAAATTCTTGTCATATTGATTGATAGTGTATAACTATCCTCTAAGTTGTCTGGAAGAGATTGCTTTATAGCGATGAGACGGTCTAAATTGTGCCAACCGTCCGTCTGTTTGTCTGTCTGCAAACTTTAGTTTTTATTCTTTCCAAAATAGAGCAAGAAGTTTGCTTACGATAGCTTCTCTATTCTGTATAACTCTACTAGCGACCTGCTAATTGCTCATAAGATAGGCCCCCTTAATTTAATTTATTGTCCGTGGTGCATAATCTTTTCTTAAAGGTTTTAAACCTTTGTTTGTCACCTGTCATCCGCTTTGCAATGGATAAGTCGAACCTTAATTTCGAACTCCCCCTATGTTCTTCTGATTAATTTCGTTGCGGGTCCAATGACAGTTTAACTTTCTCCCGGGACAAACTTGACCTTCACTGGTTGGGTTTTTGTGGCGGTCAAGCTGTAGATCCTGGCTACACAGGAGTTGCAGTGGTGGGAACGAGAGGTGGGAATAGTCCCGTACTAGCGACCCGCCCCGGCTTCGTACGGGTGCTTAATATACATAAACCTTCCTCTTGAATCACTCTATGCATTAAAAAACCGCATTAAAATCCGTTGCGTAGGTTTAAAGATCTAACGTCCGTATTCACAAAAGATGTTTGCTTAAGTGAAGCAGCAAATCGAACGCACAGCGTTGAATAGAGCTCTGTAATTGGTTCGTGTGTCGCCCTGTGCGACCACGCACCTTTGAGACCTCATAGTAAACATTACGAGCGTAAGTCTAGAGAGCGATGCGACTTTATTTTATACTATGTAGTGATGGCTCTAGAACATGGACAAAACGAAGCTTATGTCGAATGTCCATGTTACGCCCTACCCAGTTTCAGTTGGGAGCTCAATTCTCGAGATTGTCGACAAGTATGTCTACCTCGGACAAACGATTCAGCTAGGTAGGTCCAATTTCGAGAAGGAGGTCAATCGTCGAATCCAACTCGGCTGGGCAGCGTTCGGGAAACTACGCAACATCTTTTCGTCCAAATTACCTCAATGCCTGAAGACTAGAGTGTATAACCAATGTGTGTTACCAGTGATAACTTATGGCTCGGAAACGTGGCCTCTCACTATAGGCCTTATACAGAAGCTCAAAGTTGCACAGCGTGCTATGGAGAGGGCTATGCTTGGTGTTTCTTTGCGAGATCGAATCAGAAATGAGGAGATCCGTAAACGAACCAAAGTCGCTGACATAGCCCGACGTATTAGCAAGCTGAAGTGGCAATGGGCAGGGCACATAGTACGCAGAACTGACGGCCGATGGGGCAGAAAGGTTCTGGAATGGAGGCCGCGTACCGGAAAACGCAGNTCTGGAATTTAGGCCGCGTACCGGAAAACGCAGCGCGGGACGTCCACCTACAAGGTGGACCGACGACATCGTAAAGGTAGCAGGGAAGCGCTGGACGCAGGCCGCTACTAATCGATCAACATGGAAAGCATTGGGGGAGGCCTATGTTCAGCAGTGGACGTCCTGTGGCTGAAATGATGATGGCTCTAGAATATTCATTTATTATTCGGGTACAAACCTCAGCCATCTGTTGATCAGCGCCATAGGTATGGTCTTCAAGCTGAAGGGATGGGTCTCCGCATAGGTCAGCATCTTGTATGCCATAAGAAAACCTCCCATCACGAAGAATATCTGCACGATGACACGCGCGTTGAAGAGTAAGGCTTTGAAGAAGTCGCTGTAGGACTGTGAACAAAACAACAAATTAATATCAAATAAAATAAAATAATAAATTAATAAATAAATACCCTTGGACATTTTACACTGCGCTTCTAGAAAAAAACTCATTAAAGTAATTTATTTTTACTAATAGGTCTTCACAAAGCACTTGTACATGTCCCAGCTTTAACCCTACCACTGCTTCGGGACAACAAAATGGGCCAGTGCTGCAGTGCTGAGAAGAAGCAGCGCAAGAAACTCAAAATAATTAATAAGTATGTAGGGCCCTTTTAAGGGCACATACACGTCCCCAATTTAGCTTGCGCTACCACCAATTCGGGACAACATAATTATGGGCTGGTGCTGAGAAGAAGTGGCGGAAGGAACTCAGTATCATATTCATAATTTTGACTTTGACTTTGACATCATTATTATTATTAATATGACTGGACGTAAACCTCCTCCAAGTTTTTTCAACAATAAGTAGGTACATTTTCGTCCTTTATCCAGCATTGGACGTCATAATAATATTTAGGTTGAAACGAACCTTTTAGTGGCAAACATAGCAAAGCGTTAAATGTGCAGTCAACAGTACTATGCATCGTTCATTTCAACCAAAGGACGTCCACTGCTGGACAAAGCATTTCTCAGGGATTTCCACAAGGACCGGTCCTGCGCTGTCCGCCTCACGCACTTTCCGCGACCTTCACAAAATCGTCGGTGTATCGAGGAAACCTGCTTATAGTTTGCCCAAACGGTTTCATCATACGAGCCTTCCATCTAGAAACAACTTAAACATCGCAAAGTACAGGTACTAAGCCGTTAAGAGCATTTCACCACAAGTTAAACTGCATTTAACTAGTGGCGTAATAACAAGTAACCGCAATAGTTAGCTGACCGCTTCTGTGCGCTAGCGCTATGCGAAGGGAAAGGACCTAAAGTATACCTATATCCGATATAAATAATGTTGGAATTTCCTTGGCCATTTTATACTGTACGATCGGAAAGGGAGCTAAAGTGGTAATTTATTTTTGATAAAACTAGCTGACCCGGCGAACTTTGTTCCGCCTTAATGGCAATAAATAAGCAGACTTTTTTTAAAATTTCTAACGGGATAGCTGACCCGGCGAACTTTGTTCCGCCTTAATGGCAATAAATAAGCAGACTTTTTTTTAAATTTCGAATGGGATAAAAAGTATCCTATGTCCTTCTCCTGGCTCTAAACTACCTCCCTGACAATTTTCAGCTAAATCGGTTCAGCCGTTCTTGAGTTATAAGCGAAGTAACTAACACGACTTTCTTTTATATATATATAGATAACATTAACGCTTGTTTGGTCAGTATTGCCTCTGTAAAAATTAGGGGGCCCGGGGGTAGTGCTCCTGCTGACTGACTGGCTGGCTGATGACTACTAAGAAAAGCTTCAAACCATAGAACTGATTTAAATATGCTTACATATTTTAGATATTTAGGCACACATGTAAGTAATGGCTTTTGGATAGACTCTACAAGATGTCTTTTTAAACCATTTTTTTTTCATTTTGGAATCATTCTGAAGATAATGATGTTCAAATTAGTTTGCAAAAATTTGCCACTTAAACCTTGACTAACAAGCAGAGTCACTTTCACATAATTATATCAAAATTGTGATAAGTTTTTTAAAAGTGTAGCAATAATACCGGCAACCGGCTATCTTTACATTAGCCAGAATCTATGCTACAAGGTCAAAATTCATAGCAAAGTTAGCATAAGCTATACTTATGCTTTCATCTTTGCTTCGATCATGGCCGACTTGCAATATTCTCGGAGTTTCTCAACATGTTTATAGTAAGTATAGCCTGACCAGGAACATAAAAACCCTGGCATAGAGGCGCTTCAATTGCATTTGATAGTGCAACACTGAGTACAGTCGTACTTGTGTTAAATTAATAGGCTAACTTTATGTTTCAGGATTCAGGATTACGGGCTAATTTGATATTTTCATAAATTAACGAAAAAATATTATTATAGGTTTAAATAAATTAAATGAAACCATCAATCGAACTAGTAGGATTTATTTTATTATTCATCAATAATCAAATTCAGAACTTGAATATTCAACTGCAATGTCTGCTCATGAACGCTTCAAACTCGGTACTTCTTTCCCAATTCCATAAATTCAACTTTTAGAAAGTGACAAAAAACTTTAAAATAGGTAGTTGAAACAAACCACAGCTAATTTTCATAGTGGACTGTACTATACGATAAACATGTCAGTCAATTTGACAACCTTTATTGGAAACATTTTCAATGAAAATATTGTCCGAACCCTTGGTATTTCTCTTCGACAAATACTTTAACACATTGTGAACCACTTTTCTTTCACGACTATAAAAAGATTTTAGCAATTTCATTCACAAAATCAATTGCGCACATTTAAAATAAAGTTTGTTTACACTTTGACAGCAATAGACTGACATGCAAGGTGACATGTCAATGAAGTTTTTAGTTACTGTTGCCATTAAAAGAAATTAGTACCATTAGTTTTCCGCATATGGCGAGGGTTTTTATGTTCCTGGTCAGGCTATAGTAGACCTCTTTCAAAATTTACAAGTATTGAATGCAGTTTTCAAACCTACTTACCTACTCGTAAGTAGATAATAGGTACAGACAGAATATAAGCCATTATGAAAAAAATTACTTTAATATTTCAAATAGGTAGTCTTAAAATAAATATCGATGCATGCATAGATTAGATTTCGACCTCCATGACTCCATAGTACCTACAGAATGACATTAAAAATATTAGTGAATAAACAAAATAAATTATGTAATTATAATTTAAAATCCTATTAGTAGACAGAATTATTATCATCATCATTTCAGCCATAGGACGTCACTGCTGAACATAAGCCTCTCCCAATGATTTCCATGTTGACCGGTTGGTAGCGGCCTGCGTCCAGCGCCTTCCTGCTTTATGTCTTCCGTCCACATAATATGTAATTATACAGATTAATAGATAAAATTATATTTTACTAAAATCTAGTCTTGCAATGACCGGTACGACGAAAATGAATTTTTTAATGTAAACAATCTTTTGAACTTAATTTTAAACCTGCCAACTAAACTTGAAATAAACTCACGCTGCAAACCGCAATGAGGTCATTGACACTGTAGGTCACGATGTTTGTTTTGTTTTGAGAACTTGCATAATCAGCTGTTCGTTTTTTTTACCCTTTTCAACGCCTTGGTCTTGTAGGTATACAGGGTGGAAACGATAAGTGATCTCATTCGATATTTCTAAACTATACAAGATATCGAAAAGCTGGTTACTGATCCTGAAAGTGCTTCACTAGCTCTATCCAACGGTACCAATAATAGGTTACAGAATTAACTGGATCTATCAAAAAATTAAATGTAGCCTCCATACTAAATGTATGCCAGCCAAACAATATTGAAAGTATTTTATTTTATTAAATAATAAACACTTAAAATGAACTCGTAAGTTGCATTCTTATTTAAAATTATTCTTTGAAAACATTGGTTTAAGGCTTTACTTTCTATAATATTATCAAGACATGAGTGCCATGACTGTGGCTGTACTAAATGTATGGAAGCTGGAAACATTGAATTTTCGGATATATCCAGTTTATTCTGTAACCTATCATTAGTACTGTTTGAAAGAGCTTGTGAAGCACTTTCAGAATCAGTAATCAGTTTTTCGATATGCTTAGAAATAATCGAGTGAGATCACTTAACGTTTCCATCCTGTAGAATACAAACGTTTCTGTGCTCTCCACGCCACGTCTTCTTTACAAGATAATATCTAATCAAAACAATTATTCTTTAATGAAAATAATATTGTTATTTGATGCGTATAATATTTACGATTCCCTACAAATTGAGAGTGATTAGGGTAGGTAGCCCTAGTGATGCTCTACCTCTGGGCTTCAGCTTGACACTACTTTTTAGGACACCCTGTATTTTAATAGGAGCTTCGGTTTATTTTCAAAACAGACAATTTTTCTGTTTCGATTTTGATATGGGTTGGTGGCTGATAATGTAATGTTATTTATTATGACCAAATTTTTTCTTCAACATTCATCTTTTACGACACTTACGGTATTGGCTCTTTCCCATAAGCAAGAGTTAAAACTTGACTATGGTCAGTTACATTATCAGCTGTTTGAAACTAACTGGTTTCAACGTCATGCAAACACATGACGAAAACAATGTTGACCTTGACTTCTATATTGCAAGGAAAGATAACATTCTCTTTCCAAGACATTATTTGAACTAATTCCATTTTAGTAATAGGCGTGCTGGCCTTGTGGTCAGCGTAGTGGACATCGTCAGATGTGGTTGCGGTTCGAATCCCGTCAGGGGCAAATTTTAGTGTGATGAGCACTAATACAAGGAAAAATAGAGTTACATATTTGCCGGTATCCGTAAATTTATCTCTACTTCGGTACAATAGTTTTCTAAAAAAAAATTTTTAGTCCGTCTATTGTAATAATTAAAAATATTGGACACGTATATTTTTAATTGTCAATCAAACAAGTAATTACAAAGTTATGGTGCGTTGAAGTTCCGCGCGACGTCACAAAGTGCTGCACTTTTAAGCACTCATTGACGTCACGGGCTTCTTGTTTTGAACTTTGCTGCGCTTTTTCTCTTTAAATTTCCATTAGTTTGAAAAAGTGAAAAATACGTGTCGAGCATTTTTTAAATTAAAACTCTTGCTTTTTTTCCAGGAAACATCCCTATTGTGGTATTTCTCATTATTTTGTGCGGTGGTATGTGTAATACCTAGTAACACCTACCTACTGATATTTCCAAGAAACGCAAAAAATAACTATGATTGCTGTGATTGTTGACAGTGCATACCCACTTACAATTCTGTTACAATACATTTTTTAAAATTTCCAAATTCAAGTCAACAAGTCAATTCATTCTACCGAAGGCCATTTTGGATAGGAAAATATTGCTTAAACTGCCTTTAACTATTAGTAGATAGGTAAACTGACCCTTCTGCTTATACAAATAAGAACATCAAAAGGGCTTTTAAACTATCGTTAAGACACAATAAAAATATGCAATATTGAACCCTGTCTCAATAGAAATAAGAGGCAATAGTTGGGCATTAGACCGTAGCGCCCTAAAAACCGGTCGATCGTCGTACGCGCATGTTGGGCCATGAAACCCGCGGAACGGATAATGTTTCAATGAAAGGTAATTAACACATTCAGTATTGGGACACTAGCATTGTTTTTGTGAATTTTTGCGTGATTTCAAATACCACATTGTGTAGTTATTTTTGAAATATTCTGACCATAGGAAGTTCTGAATCTTTGCAATAAATAGTCTCGTACACTGTGTTATCGTCATTAATATCTCAAAAATCATGATTATTTATTATTTTTATGTATCTTTTATATTACTTAAACCCAGTTGTTCAGTTTCAAAAATGTATAATCTAAACAAAAAATATTATTTTTTATAATAAAATGTCAATGACCTTACACTCAAACCGCTAATATTATGGCCCCAGAGGCTCATGTTGAAACGTGACCTTAACATTTTGAAATAAGGTGTGTTTTATCACTGCCATCGAATTAGCAGCTTAGTGCTAGTTAACGAAAATATCACCAATTTTTAGTAATTTAAGTCGGTAGGTATGTAATTAAATCGTATTAGGACACTAACTTGCGCGAAAGACGTTTACGTGAAAAACGCTTGCGCGAATTCACAAGCGCGAAAAGCCTTTTGCGTGCGGACACTTTTTTTTTATACACAACGAGGAAGCTCTTGCCCTATATCTCACCTGATGGTAAGTGATGATCAGGCCAAAGGTGGAAGCAAGCTTCACCCGGAATCCTCAACCACGGAGGAACTGGCTATCTTACCTCTAACTGCCGGAACACAACAATGCTGTTAACATTGTTGTTATGGCGACAGACTTAGGTATGATGGTGGTAGCTAGCCAGGCGGACTTAGAACAAGCCCTACCACCAACCAAACCCACTTGCGCGAAGACATGAGCGCGAAAAACATTATCTCAAACCCTAGCCCCCTTATAGTAAAAAGTTACACCTAGGATGAACCCTGGATTAAAATGTCATTTCCATACTAAATGACTATTTAAGCCAGAGTTCAACTAGAATAAATTTTATTAATTATGGGGTATGAGGGACTTTTACAGAGTATGTCAATCACATCATAACCTAATCTTACTTATCCATCTTACTTTAACTATATGACCAACCTGTGAAACTCCAGACAAAAACACCGGTTAAAGTTATAGTTACGGTTAAAGTCAAAATTATGCAACTCAGCCTTAAAGAACGATATTTTTGAGTAAAATGATTCTCATTACTTTATATCCCTTACCTTGACAACACCACTAGACGAAAATTTTATTACTGTCTGTTACTATTACTTTATGTAACAAGATCGTTCACAGTAATGCTCCCAAGTGTGACATACCATTCTGATGTTGTGTAACCCCAGAGTTGGCCAAATTGAATGGAGGCAAGCGGCATTGGGTTACTTACACTTTTACCTTTTTATTGCGGTATTAATGGGCTATTTTGTTTTAAGTAATTCAGAGCGGATATTGAGGCGAATTTTGACATAGGTACTTGTCGGTGTTTAATAGATCATAAGGCATAACTTGATTGTGCATGTAAGGTGATTGTGTCCACTATTCAGATAGCACGACAAGGATTCCAATTCAAATTCAAAATTTTTATTGCATATTATGTGTTGTTGATTATTGATTATTTAGATAAAGACCTTGGTATGATAATGTTATCGTTGAAATTTTTATAAAAAATACTCTACCCCGTCGTGCTGATAGAGAGTTCCTAAAAATAGTGACTCTTGAAAATTTGCCCGAAACACCAAATGTTAAAATGGAAATCAAAAAAATACTCATGTCACATGCAACCAGTAGAAACATCCTTAACAAGATTCGATAAACAAAACATATATCACACTTATTCGAGACAAAATTAAAAATTTTAAATAAGAGACTCGTATTAGTCAGACACGTAATAATATTCGTTCGTTCGTTTCAGCCGAAGCCACTGCTGGACAAAGGCTTCCACCAAGGATTTACAAAGACCGATCCTGCGCCGCTCGCATCCAGGCACCTCCCGCGACCTTACCACACGTAATATTAGACGTAACTTAAAACATTTTTTTTTAGAAAAAACTTACATGTTCAATAAACTCAGGGTTGGCAGTGTATCCATATCCGATGAAGATCATAGAATGGAGGCCGAGGATCATCACCATGGTGTAGAATCTGAAACAAATGGTACCTAAATATTACAGATGTCAACAAGTAAAACTGTCATTTGCTCCACAACGTTTTGAAGCAGGTAAAAACACAAACTTCTCGATACTCATTTTTCATAGATGATGCCTTCAAAAATTAAAATTTTACAAATTCATTCATTTATTTGCCCAATTTTGGGTAAACATCAGCAGATCTTAATAAATGGCCCACAAGATGAATCAACGACCTCATAAACGTAGCATGGCAAGTCTGGAAATCATTGGACTCCATACAACAGAGGATGTTCTTAGGCTGAAATGATGATGGTGATGTAAGGGTTTAACCTTACCTTAAAGCCTGGAAGCATTTGAAGATTCCACCTTCAGCACTTCCACCATACTTCAGAGCTTTCCAGTTCTTTTGGACGCAGAAAGCCAACATGTACCTGTTACCTGTTAGAAAAACGGTCATTTTAATAAAAAATCGACTAGCCCTTCAATATTCTTATCTCCTAATAGATTAGATGGTGGCTTAGATGGTAAAAGCATTCACCCATAGTTGAGCTCTTCAATGCTAGACTTTCTAACTAGTCAACATTAATTGAAAACTAGAAACTAGTGTTAAATGCGTATAACACATTTATTGGTAAAAGGGGGAAATGTTTTTCATACTTCCAAATAATTTTGCAAACAGTTCATTAGGTACCCATAAACAGATAGGTAGTTCAGATTTTATTCTGTTGACTCAAATGTTCCCTACAAAATGTGGGTAATTGTCACCATCATAATCCTACTAATATTATAAATGCGAAAGTTTGCATGTTTGGATGTCTGGATGTTTGTTATTTTTTCGCGCAAAAACTACTGAACGGATTTTGATGAAACTTTACAGTATTATTGTTTATAACCTAGATTAACATTATAGGCTATAATTTATGACGATCTGTGACAAACTAAATTTCACGCGGGTGAAGCCGTGGGCAAAAGCTAGTAAAGAATATACAACACATTTAGTCGTTATTACAATTTCTTAGCGAATAGAGTCGCTTCTCTAACTCATTTTTTTTAAGTAAACAACTTGATAAAATTAACTGTCAGTTGGAAGAGCAGTCGCTAGGCAAGCGGAAGGTCGTGGAATCGAGTCCCGCCTTAGGCAGTTTGATTTCTTCAAGTTCTTTACCTAAAAAAAAATACAACACATTTGTGTTCGTACCTGAACCTTTCTCTCCAGGCCATAAGAAGTAGTAAGCTGAACATCCCAGGTTCACAAGCAGCAGTAGCAGTATTATGGCTCCGAGGGAGTAGTCCAGGGCATCAGGAGGCACGTAGTCCCCTTTAGTCTTGCAGTAGCGGACTTTGAGGGTCTCCACCTGATGGAGGATTGAAGGTCTTAGGCATACGGGTTAAGGTTGAAAGTTACAAAACTGGTGAAAGAACCAGCAGCAAATGCAGCTGTAAATTAACTAGTACCTACATCGAGATTTTGCGACTTCTGTTATTTAACGGAATGATTTCGATTCGATATAAAGGACAGTTTTTATGTGACAGGGCGCAAACGAGCAGACGTATCACCTGATGGTAAGTGATTACCGTCGCCCATAGACACCCGCAGTCCCAGTGGAGTTACAGGTGCGTTGCCGGGCTTTAAGATTTAGGTACGCTCTCTGTTACAATGTTCATTAAAAGGACATATTTTTAAGGCTAGTCACAAATTGTCAGAAATAAAGCAGTTACAACCACAAGTAACTGTCGTTCCTTCCTTCTAAACTTCCTAAGAAGTGCCTCTTCAAAACCTACCACCATAACCTAGTATAACCAAAACCTAGTTCTTACCTGAAGCCCATAGCTCTCGTAGATGGAATTGTTCAAGCACTCTTTGAGAACTAAACCTGCGGCCGTCAGATCTTCGGCATGAGTCAGATTGAGGCCACACTGCTTGGACCCGCAGACTCCTCGGAAGAGTTTGTGGTGGTGGTAGTTTGTGTAGGTGATGGAAGAGTAGTTCTGAAAAGGAATAAACAGTAAATAAATTGTTTTCTTGACAACTATTGAGATTCTGGGTTTGCTCCCCAGGTGGATTACACAAATATGAAATGAATAAAGGTGCCAGTTCGTCGCCGACTCCACACAGCAGCAGCAGACGACCGGCGTGTCGTTGCTACACGTAGAAACTATAGAAATATATTTCTATGAAACACGACAGCGACACGTCATCTGAAGGTATTTCATAGAAATGCATAGAAACCAGTGCTTTCCGGTGAAAATGTCGTCTGGTGCTTCTGTGTGGAGTCAGCTAGTTCTAAATTTCTCACGGTACGGAAAGAAATCTGACCATATGAGTCTACCGGCGGGAATTGAACCGCTACCGTATCCTATAAACTCCCCTATTCAATTACATATTCTTCTGCTTTTCTATATGGCTCTTACCATAATATACTCGTATAGAGGTGTGCCATCATCCAGCAGTACTAAGTCGGCCAAGCAATAAACGGCTTTCGGATCCTTGAGACAGAGGTCAAAATCTTCCAGATCAGCTAGAGCTGGCATTGAGTCGTAGTCGAAGCCCGGTGGTGCGGAGTCATCTGTAGGAGAAGGAAATTTATAAGTACCAAATATAATATTTCCTAACCACACAAATAGAGTCAAGACGTTTGTGAATATTTGGACAAATATGTTTCTGGAAGTATGTAGTACTAGCGGCTGCCCGCGACTTCGTACGCGTGGATCCCGTTTTACCCCCCTCATCTATCTTACGCGGCTTAGATTTTTCATACAAAAGTTTTTTCCCGCTAACTCCCATTCCCGTGGGAATTTTGCAATATCCTGTTGTAACTAAGCTTTAAGTTTACTAAGGTACCTGCATGCCAAATTTCAAGCGTCTAACTGAAGCGGTTTAGATTTTTCATACAAAAGGATTTTCCCGCTAATTCTTGTTCCCGTGGGAATTTCGGAAATTCCTTTCTTAGTGCACCTCTACGGTACCTAAGCTACGTCCCTTCCAAATTTCAAGTGCCTACGTTTAGCCGTTTAGGCTGTACGTTGATATGTCAGTCAGTCAGTCAGTTCTCTTTTTATATAATTTAGAAAGATAGATTCTTGTGAATACGACTTTCATACATGATTCGCTAATAACTAAATATTTTGAAAAGATTTTGCAAGGATAGCAAGCACGTCATTTAATGAAAGGTAGATTGATGCTACAACACTTTCACACAGTTAATGTAAAGATTTGCACAAATATTATTTACCAATACCTCCCACACAATAGTAACTTAATCATCGTCTTTGACACGTGTTTGTGATTGGAATGAGAAACACAACATATAGCACATTAGTATAAACATAGAATGAAGCTAAAAATTCAGGTTCGGGTTTAATTGTAATATTTACAACAATCATTAGGAATCAATGAGTAAGATTAATTTGGCCGTGTTACATATTTTACGTGGTTTGGACCTCAAATTCACGTCTAAGCAGGTGCAAATCTTCTGCAATTCTTATTTAATCATACCCACAAATGGGCAAATAAAACATTTCTAAATAGCAGTAAGTGTCTGCTATTTTGTAAGATCAGTAACCGGTGTGCAGTATGCGTGCGCCCGCGCCGCAATATCCTGTGTTCAATGCAATGTACTCTACGTTTATTTTGGCTTGCAGCACGAATTTCCTTTAAATTCACGGTTTACTTGTAAAGTGGCGTGTAAAAATAACCACCTAAACACCATTGAGTTTTAATGTACAGTCGACAGCACATCAAGCTATACATTTTCGTTGCAAAGTCGCCTCTATCGCAACTACGTAAGATACCACAGTGTTTACGTTGACGTGCTGTCGACCGTACTTCGTACTTATATCACTTCAATGCTAAACAAACACACATTCTTTACATACAATGTAGCCACGATAGCCGAACGGTGAAGGGGTCGGACTGGCCGACTCGTGATCCGGGGAACGCGGGTTTGGTCCCCGCCGCCACTCGACTATTGTGGTGAGCTCACTCGTGATACAAGCATATTTAGCTTAGTGCGAGGGGCTAACGGGACTTCTAAAAAAATGTAGTCCAGTCAATAAAGCATTATAGAGAGAAATCCGTGGAACACAATTTCTGACTTCGGGACTTTATTTCCCACTACTACACCGTCGTTAAAGCATTCACTGACTGGACTAACGTCATGTATAGCTATAACTAAAGTGCAAAAATGTGCCTTTTTGTAATGTAAATTATTAATTACTAGCTGACCCGGCGAACTTTTTTCCGCCTTAATGGCAATAAATAAGCAGACTTTTTTTTAATTTCGAACGGGATAAAAAGTATCCTATGTCCTTCTCCTGGCTCTAAACTACCTCCCTGACAATTTTCAGCTAAATCGGTTCAGCCGTTCTTGTGTTACCTATAAGTGGTGTAACTAACACGACTTTCTTTTATATATATAGATAAAAACTAATTTGTATTCTGTTGCTGTACCTAAATAAATAAATAGATTGAGGTTTTAAATAGGTTGAATTTTAATTTAGGCTAGAATCTAAGACGGAAATTCAATCAAGCTTTGAGCGTTATTTTGTAAAACCACAGGTAAAACAAAATATAAAAGGTTGTTACAACCCACACGTTATGGGTAGGTATAGTAGAAATGTACAATGTACNGCTTCTACTGTAGGGGAATGTGAACAAAATTATTTTATCTACATTAAGTAAACATAAGCTATCAAAAATATTTAGTAGGTCTTTTTTGCCTACATTGCCCCTATTTCCTATTAAAATTACTAATGTGGTATTTATTGAGAACGAATAATTTGTTATTTTTTTCATAATTTGTAAATAGGAAGCACCCGGTAAACAGTGGTTGATTACACTTTGTCCCAAGTAACTATTAATAAGTTGGCCCATATTTTTGCCTAACTCATCACTGAACATTACTATGTTGGTTTTTTCAATATTTTTAGTTGGGGAGCCGCTGGTAAATGTGTGTGATATCCTAGGACAGTAGTCTTTGTTTAGGGTGTTTAGAGTAGGTGGTGACTCACAACCAGACTGAAAACTATCTGTACAAGATTCATCCAATAGGATAGAATTTTGACAGTTGCAATTAGATATAAATTTTTTCAAAGCCTGGAAATGTTCATCACACTCTTTTTTTGTACATTGATACCGTTCAGACATTGTGTTCAAAGATTTCTTAAGATTACATAATTTATATTCTAGGTTTTCGACATCATGTTCATATTTCAGTACACTATTCTCTAACATTGTGGAACATATGTCAAGCTCATTCTTTAGACGCTGTCTCTCATTTATATAGTTTACTTTGTTGTATAAGCATTTTTGTTTTTTAATCATCAGTCTGCACATATTTGATGTACTTAAATTTGACTATTCTTACCTTTAGATAATTCCTGGCAATAAGTGGTGACTGAGTTTGTTCCGGCGTTTCTTCTCAGCACTTGCCATATGTTTGTCTCGAAGCGCTGGTAGGGCCCAAAAGATAAGGAGACATGTAAAGTGCCCCATAAGGGCTACCTTTTTCTTTTTTTATTATTTTCTATTGACGTTCATAAGTGCCACTTGTGGTCTAAACTGAATAAATATTTTTTGATTTTGATTTTTGATTTTGAAATATCTAAAGTGAAAGTTCTATTTTTATTATAAAATAAATATTTTACATAATAGGTAGGGTGTAACACAATATTTTGACAAGTATCGCCCACCTTTATTACGGGCACTCATCTCCACGCGTAGGAGTTAAATGCTAAAATACCGGCGTTTTAGATTTTAACAAAATAAATATTATTAATAATATTTAATCATGGAACTTTTCGTTCTTTTTTTGTGCCTTTTTGTTTGATCAAATTTTAATATAAAAATAACCCACTATATTTTTTTAGTCAGGCCTCTGTCTAGTATCAGCAGGTAGTAGAAGCGACTGTAGAGTCACTAGGGAAAAGCTTGCCAATTACATTAATTAACCTTTAAAGAAGAACGGTCATCTGTGACCCAGGCCCGACAGAAACGAGACATACCTCATTTTTTTTGTCATGTCTTAATTAGTTAAATTATATATTTTTTATATTCGAAATCTATGTATAACACCAAAATATTAACCTTTGTTTTTGTTCAGGCCTTATACAAAAACTAATACAAAATGCCTATTTATCACCAAAATTGGTAAATGTATGTACCTAAATGTCTATTACAGCTGCTATGGAATGTATCTAGGTGACCTGGACATACAGCCGGATTATACAGGGTGGAAACAAGAAGTTACAAATTCCAAAAATTCTATGTTACCAGCTTCCATAATCTGTAACCTATTATTGGTACCATTTGAAAGAGCTCGTGAAGCACTTTCAGAATCAGTAATTAGTTTTTCGATATCTTGTATAGTTTAGAAATAATCGAGTGAGATCACTTATCGTTCCATATGTATAACCACCCTGTATAATCCGGCTGTATCTCCAGGTCACCTAGATACATTCCATAGCAGCTGTAATAGACATTTAGGTACATACATTTACCAATTTTGGTGATAAATAGTCATTTTGTATTACTTTTTGTATAACGCCTGAACAAAAACAAAGGGTAATATTTTGGTGTTATACATAGATTTCAAATATAAAAAATATATAATTTAACTAATAATGACATGACAAAAAAACTGAGGTATGTCTCGTTTCTGTCGGGTCTGGGTTTTTTTTGTATGGGGCGTGACCGTTCTTCTTTCCACGCATCGCAATATTTCCTCGCCTCCCAAAGTATTAAATTTGCTGATGTAGCAACACCAATTTAATGGCCATTCCAAGGTACAGTTATCCGACCGTGACACACATTGGTGTGAGCTTACATTTTGTATAACAATTTTTAAATGTACATTAATAGATTAGTTTGAAAAGCCTAATTGACAAAAGACCTTTATAATGACAAATAGATGTTGCTGTAGTGCTGCTTTAAACCAAGTACTATCCACATCGATAGTTAAAAAAATCGAAATACAATCGATATTAAAATGATGATAGTTGTTTGTCAACATATCGACTAACATTTAGAAACAAGAACAAAATTAAATGTTATTTTTAAGAGATGCGTCTTCGCATTATGTTAATGTTCTAAATTGTCCACTTCACAATAAAACTATAGTTTTTATGCTTCATCAATTCTTCTTGCTAATATTCCATCAATTAGTTTAATAGGCTAGATGACAAAATTTCAATTATTTGTCCGTCAGACAGATAATTAGAAAATATTAGACTCATATTTTTTATTTTCTTTCATAATTAAATAATAACAGTGCTTCATCGAGTTGAAATGGCGCGATACGTCACGTTTGAGTAGAATTTTTACTCAAAGGTGATGTCACGCGACATTTCAACTCAATATAATACTGTAATTATTCGATTATGGAAAAAAATAAAAAATATGAGTCTAATATTTTCTAATTATCTGTCTGACGGACTAAATAGAATTTCGAATAGTAAGTAATATATATAGTAAATACAAATGAGTAGGTTATCTTCATAGAAACGCACCGAGCGCGGTTTGTATGTGAGCGCGCCAATATTTGTTTTTTCTATGATATAGAGCTTTAAT